CAATTTGAATGAATTTATTTTCCATTTTTTTCATTTATATGTATGATATATGGAAATTGTCAAAAAAAAAAAAAAAAAAAAAAATATTAATATCAAGCAAATAGGGTGAGGGAGAAAAAAAACTATGTTAAATCATGACATCTTTTCAATTATGTTCTTTGTGTGTGTGTGTGTTTGCGTTTCGCGACATTGAAATCGTACATTTAGGCTCTTTTCAACAGAAAAAATTATGATCACTTATTTATTTTTTTTGGTCCAAATGTTGATTATTATTTTCTCATTTTTCATCAATCAAGAAAATATCATGATTGATTTGATCTAAAATGACCTGTTTTTATTTCATTCATTCATTCATTAATAATAATAACATTGTTGTTTCAATTCAGCTTATAAAAAATAATGTTGATTAATTAATTGAAATTATTATGTTCAAACTGATTAATATACAGCTTTTCTTATGGAATGGCTTAGCTTCTTGACATAATAATTAGCTTTAGAAAAATGAAATGATGAACGAATATTGATGACTCATACACACGCATACAAATAACATTAAAATAAATTCAATAAAATAAACGTTTTCAATCAAAATGTGAGAAAATAAAAACAAGGAATAAAAACACATTATTCGAAATTCTTTATGAATCATTCATATCACACATTTGTTTTTCGGTTCATTTTTACTTTGAAAAATTTTTTCCCCATTTTATACACACATTAAAAAATTAGAAATATTCAATTTTTTCAAAAAATATTTTATTATCATTGGAAAAGATTTCGTTCATGTTATTTTTTTCGTTTCAAAATCAATTATCAGTCACAATCGAATCCAGAAAAAAAACAATAAAAACAATATTAAGAAGAAAAAAAATTGGATATTCATTTAAATAAAAATGATTTATATGTTTAAATGATTATTATTTTTTAAAATTTAAAAATCTATAGTATATCTGTGTATGTAGAATTTTTTAGTTCAATAATTGTGATTTTTTTTGTTTTGTTTTTCTTTTTAGTTACTAGTTCATAATTTGAGATCGGGAACAACTTGGTCAAAATTCGCCGATAATGATAATGATGATAATAAACTGTTGCTACCATGATGTGCACAACACGATGGCAATAGTGATGATGATGGCGGCGATGCAAACAGATAATGATGATTATTATGAGCTGCTACTGTTTGCTGTTGTAATGCACGTATCGATGATATTGTCGAAGTAGATGGCGATGATAATAAGGTCATAGACGTTGAAGACGATGGTAAAGATGACGATTGATTCGATGATGTTGATGGCTGTTGAACATTATTGCTATTATTGTTACTATTCATTATCATCGACATTGGTGATTGTGGTGGTGATAGATTTTGATAACGATTTTGTTGCCGATAATTATTATTATTATTATTATTCAGGATATTATGATTATGCTGCTGATGTTGAGGATAGGAATTTTGAAGTTGTTGAGATGAAAAAACACCGGAAGAAACAGGAGGAACCGTAGCTATTGAGGTTGTTGAATTTCTTTTCATCATAATACTATTATTCATTAGATTGGATGATCGAAAAGAATCAAACCAACGATGCGCTAATGTATCGTCGGCTGTTAAACGTTCATCCGGATCCATACGCATCAATGATCGTATTAAACATTTTCCATGTTTAGATAAATGATCTGGAATGTAATATGTACCACGACGAATTTTACAAAACACAGATGATGGATTCACATCATGAAATGGATAACGGCCTACTAACATTGTATAAAGTATTACACCCATTCCCCAACAATCGGCTGCTAAACCACTGAATGAATTGGATAAAAGAATTTCTGGTGAAACGTATGCTGGACAGCCATGTTTATCCGTTAATGTATCATCATCATCATCGAAAAGGGAAGCTCCTTCTAATGTTTCCAATTTTAATTTGGTTCTAGATTAGAAAAATTGACAATGATAACAAAAAAAAAGCAAATAAAAATAAAAATGTGATATTTGTTCGCTAAAAAGTCACAACTGTAATTTGATTGAACGACAAAAAAACCCGTTCAGTTCAGATAAATATAAAATATGTGCTATTTTTATAAACAACTATTCGACTTACCTTTCTTTATTGCTAAAAATAAATTTCCTAAGTTTGAGATCTCTCAATATGATTCCGTTCCGATGACAATCGGCAACAATTTCAACAATCTGTCGAAACAATGGCATTGCTTCATGTTCACGTAATCGTCTTTTATTGCGTACATATGAATGTAGATCACCAAAGGACGGACTAAATAATATAAATGTATGAACACGGCCAATGATAATCTTTTTCACCTGATTAATACCCGTATGACCATCCATACGAAGATGTGGTGCAAGAAAATCATAATAATTCTTACTTAAGACAACCTATAACAATATTTATAAAGAAAAAAATCATTAAGATTGTTTTGTTTTGCACAAATAAATTTTATTTTTCTCTATTATCATATAATTCATAGTGTCAAATGAAAAACAACATCAAATGATTATTATCTAAATAAATGAATGAATAGAATAATATAGAGTAATAAATAATAACAAATGACATGATTTTTTCCCTTTATTACTTGACTTTTTTTTCCAGGTTATCATAACATACATTGAAATACAATTCATTTACAATTTAGCTGCCGACACAAACCATCAACATTATATGAGAAATGTAGAACACAACATATTTTTAAAAAAATCAAGTTCCAGGGCATTGCATCTTATCGAAGGGAGATCACATATAGATATACAACAGCAACACACACACAAAAAAAAACTATTGTGACCTGAACTAGGAGCGAATGAACGAAAAAAAAATCCTGTTGTATCTTTTAGAAGACGAAAAAAAAAAAGAAAAATCCTGATTTGTGTTTGCGGTCGGTGGCCTGGCTTATAATAATAATAACAAAAACATTGATGGCGATGGCATAATAGACACAAACACACACACATAAATATATAACAATAATAATCATCACGAATGTAAAATATTTGAGCCAATGTACTCAATTAAGGTTATGACTATATTCAATTTTTTTTTGTTCTTCATATGCAATCCATATTATGATTGTGTTCGATTTTGACATAGAAATCTATTCAAATATAGAGGATAGTAGATTATACTGTAAATATTAGTCGATCTATTCATAGGATTTAAATGGACAAGACAAATTATTCAATGAATTATCTTACCTTGCAACAAAATTCTTCGGCAGTATTCAATCCTAAACAACGATATAGATTACTTGCTTCAATTTGACTTGTAAGTACATAATTATCGCCAAAAATTAATGGCAAATTCAATTTGATTGATATATTTATTTGTGCTGGTGCTGTTGTTGCCAATATTGTTGGCTGTGGTGTTGATGGTTGTTGAATCAATGATTGTTGATTATTGGTGATACAATGATTCGTCAATGTTAAAGTCGATGACGATAATGACGATGATGATGATGATGAGAATAATGTTGGTGAAGAAATTATTGATCCTGGATTAGGACTCGACAAATTAGGACTAGTCGTCGATGATGATGATGATTTCCATCCTGGATGATTTGATTGAATTTGAAATATTTTATAAAATGGATTCACAGAATTATAAGATGATGAAGATGGTGAATCATTTGATGGCCAATTTGGTATTGGACCAAATGTTGAACCATTTGATATGGTTCGCACTAATGCCTGTGTATTTAAACTTGATAATGAACTTGGCGATAAAATCGATGGTGATGATGTCGATATGTCATTATCGATGATCGGTGTTGTTGGTGTGGATGATGATGAGGAATTTAGTTGAAGATTGGAAGATTGATTATTTGATACCATAAATGTTGAGGATGATGATGACCGTAGATTTGACCATTGAAATGAATGATGTATAGAACTTGATGATGATGAAGCTCTTTCAGAATAGGAATTTGATTTAGAATCAACGGGTATCGTTGGGCCACTATTATCACCATCACTATTACTATTACTAAAATTTGTTAATGTCCGATTTATTGTTATTGATTCTCTCATTTGAACATCATCATTTTCACTATTTGTAGTTCCATTATTAGTCAACATAAAAATCGGTACCATCAATTTATTATTATTATTATTAATATTGATCACATTTTGGCTATTTTTATTATTTTCATGATGATTATGATTATGATTATGATGATGATGATGATGAGAATGATGATCACTAATATGACTATGATGAGGACTTTGGTTAAAAATATTTGGCCCGTTTATCATCTCGGTGGTCATGATGGACAAGGTATTTTTTTTGTTTTGTTTTGAAGATTCCGTTGATTGCTGATAGGCAAAAATAAATTCACATTAACACCTGATATTCAAATTGATCACAGCCATATTTATTAAAGATTTTTTGATAATAAAAACATTCAAGAATTATAGTTGTTGTTTAATAGATGAAACATGATTCGTAGATCATTTTTAAGATAAGGCTGATTGCTTTTTGAGAAGAAAAAAAATCGATTCGATTTGATATCCGTATTTTAAGAGGAGTAATGCCGTATGCAATCCGTTTTTGGATGATTGGTGAGGAAATTCCAGTGTTTAACGAGAAAAAAAAACAAAAAACAAAATTCGTTTATTGATGAGGCAGTGGATTTTTTTTCACACAAACGTAGGCAAAAATATTAAGAATTTCTTTGCAATGACTAAACACATAACAACCATCGTCATCATCATCATTACCACCACAACCAATATGTTACTCGATTGAATTTGATGTTACAAACATTTGATTAGAATAATAGCAATCATGATCTTTCGTCATCAATGTTGAATTGAAAAATGGAATGAATATAATTGAAAAAAAACTATTAAGATTTGAAGTACAAAATAAAAAGGGGAAAGAATTGTAGAGTGAAACAATAACTAAATGTGATGAAATGGTCCTCGTCTTCGTTATTCGTATATATTTTATGTTATACACTTTTTTTACATTCCCATTTTTTCGGTGTCAATCTTTCTCTCTTTCTTTCTCTCGTCCTGTATCCTACCACCATTTATATATGTGAAAATCTGAAAAAACAACAACAAAAAATCCTTATTTCTATCGTAAAGTTCGTTGGATATTGTCTCATCGTATCCACTCACAAAAATATTTTGATTGGCGTCATATCAGGATCCATTCTCTCTCTTTCTCTGTATAATATTATATAGCCAAACCTTTTTTCAACTCCTCCTTTTTTTTATTCTCACAAAATGATAGCGGTATAATTGAATGAACCGATTGAATAACAAGTACACATAAACGTAAATGGAGGATACGCATATATATCCGAAATGGATTTCCAGTTCATAAAAATGATTAGTAGTGGTATGGATTATAGTGAACAACTTCCAGATATCTAATTCATATAGAATTCTTGCACACGTCAAATAATGTCATGAAAGTTTAAGATAAAAAGAAAACATTATCGTTATGGTCGCAATTGATATCGTAATTTTATGCAACAAGTATATAGAATGATTCTATAGATTTGTATAGATAGCGAAACATAATAAGATATGGCGCCCATTCATGAATTACATCAAATATACGAAATGTCATTGTGACCATCACTTATATGAAAAAGTATAGACTAATTTTTTTTTGTTGTTGATAAAATTATATCTACATATTGCGCCAATCGTCGGTTCGTAATGTTAAATTTCACCATCATCGACTATATCTTGACGCCATACAACAATGGTGGAAAAAAAGTTGCACATATACATGAGAGAATGTTGGAAAAGGAAAAATAAACGATTGCAACATGATGATGACAAACCAAATATTATAATAGTAACTTTTATCATCATAATGATGATGATGATGATAATAAATATTGGATGTTTAATAAGATCGATTGGAATCGATCGTGTGTGTGTGCGACAAATCCAATGACGTAAAAAATATCTTTTCAAACTATATGATAATAATAGTGACAAAACTTACTATACTATTTAACATTCGCAATTCTTTTACTCTTTTTTTTTGCAATACACACACACTAATACGATAATCGAACCAAAAGAACAAAAAAATCTAAAATTGAATATTTGTAATTTGAATGATATCGATGCTTCTAGTGATGAATGGGAAAAAATTTTCAATTTAAAAAGGATGAGATAAAAATATTTGCTTGTGTACGGTTTATGTGGCGACGTTATTGAAATTCCTAGAATTCAGAATGAAATTAATCGAGTTGTTTGTGTCTGTCTGCCTTTGTGTTTAAACAGATGACAGCAGCAGACTGATTGCGTAATTTATCATTATTATTATTAGTGTAACATGTAGAATTTTAATGCTAAAAAAACTATACCTTGTGATTAAAAACTGATAATCCTAAATGATATTCAAAATGAATGATGATTACATTCACACATATCTTATATAGTGTTTTCGTTATACAGACACTACGAATTCGCAGCTATTTTCATCGCTTACAAATAGAATGCCAATGTCAATGCCATTTATCTTTTTTTTTTAAAAAAAAAACATTAACAATTTGTATGGCCATTTAAAGAGATAGTGAGAGAGGAAGAATGGCCAAAAGGTCAAGAAAAAAGGGAAAATAAAATTTATAAAAATCTCCATTTATAAGATACGTAATAAGAATGAAATATATTTTGGAAACTTATGAAAAAAAAAGATAAATTTCCAATGAATTTTGTTCTCTTAAGCTATCGACACCTACCAAAATATAATAATGATAATGATGATGATCATAATCATATTATATTTCTCTTCGCCATAGTTTTTCTCCAAATTTGATGACGACGTGTATTCCCATCCAATTCGGTTTACGCAAAACACATATACACTGTTTGAATTGGATAAACAAACAAATAAATAGAAAAAAAATTATATATAGAGAGAGTTTTTGATTGCGAAATTAAATTGCCTGAAACATATTCATATAGTGAACAAGATATTTTTGATATATTGAAATGGAGGATAATGAAACAGGAGTTTCACTGTTTCTCTTGCACTATTCTCTCTTTTTTGGAGATAAAATTTCTTCTTAACGACAACAACTACTATTGGCGCGAATGCAATCTGTCATAACATTCAAATTCAGCTGGCAATCCAATATTTGATTTCTTTTCTTCCAACTCTTTCTTTCATTTTTACTCTTTAATCAACAAAAATTAAATTTAGTAGCAAGCTTTTTAATAGCATGATAAATTGTTTTGATTGCGTAATCATTTAAAGTAAAAATGAAAATTCAAAATTTAAAAACACAAAGGAAATTCAATGGACGATACTATCGATATAATCGTTTGGAAAAAATTACATCATTTTTAACCAACAAAACATTTAAAAAAATCAATGCATTAATCAGAAAAAAGGGTGGAAAATTCTATTGATTTGTTTGGTTATGAAAGCTTGACACCTGTTAGCTATCAGATGATACATGATAATAAATAACCCTTGAAACATAAACATTTCAGATAAAAATATTGTAAGTGTAATAAAAAATTCGAGGCTCATTTTTATTATATTTTAGTTTTTCAATTTTTTGTTTTCGTAAAATATACACAACAGGAAAGAAAATTTCAATTCAAATTGAATAATAAACTAAAATTTGAAGACTAATAATGATTCAAACTTTTTTTGAACAAAAAAAAATCGAATATTTTTAGTGTGCAGCCGCTTTTATCTTTTCCTGATCACCATTACCGGCTTTTGCTTGATATTGTTGTATACGTTCCATAATGACAGGCCTAAAATGTCGGATCAAACCCTGGAAATGAAAAATGAATTATTAGTTCATTGAATGGGTATTTGTTTAAATATTTTGCAATATACCTGTACAGGCCATGCAGCACCATCGGCAAGAGCACAAATCGTATGTCCTTCAATTTGTTTGCTCATTTCGAATAACATATCAATCTCTTTTGGATCGGCTTTGCCATCCACAAGACGCCACATAATTTTATTCATCCATCCGGTACCTTCACGACAAGGTGTGCACTATTTAGATATGTAAATAAATATTATTTCTCTCTTCTTTGTGTTGCAAGTCATTTTTAAAATAGGAATTCGGAACCTACCTGACCACAACTTTCATGTTTATAAAATGAAGCTAAACGTGCAATAGCTTTGATCACATCCGTTTGTTTATTCATAACGATTAATGCGGCTGTACCAAGACCGGATTTATTTTCCACAAGAGAATCAAAATCCATCAATACGGTAGAGCAAATATCTTTGGGTAGAATTGGTGTGGAGGATCCACCCGGTATAACGCCGAGTAGATTATCCCAACCACCTATTATGCCACCACAATGACGTTCTATTAATTCTTTCATTGGAATAGACATTTCCTCTTCAACTGTACATGGGTTCTTCACGTGACCGGAAATGTTAAATAATTTCGTACCAGTATTACGTGGACGACCAAATGATGCAAACCAGGTTCCACCCCGACGGCAGATAGTCGGTGCAACGGCAATCGTTTCCACATTGTTAACAGTTGTAGGGCATCCAAATAAGCCGATATCAGCTGGAAACGGCGGTTTCAACCGTGGTTTTCCTTGTTTACCTTCAATCGATTCTATTAATGCTGTTTCTTCACCACAAACATAAGCACCAGCACCACGATGAACAAATACATCGAAATCATAGCCAGAGCCACAGGCATTTTTGCCAATCAAACCAGCCTGATAAGCTTCCTGTATGGCAATCTGGAGATTCGATGCTTCATTATAGAATTCACCACGAATATAAATATAAGCCGCACATGCACCCATAGCACTTCCGGCAACTAAACATCCTTCAACCAATTTATGCGGATCATGGCGCATAATTTCACGGTCTTTACAGGTACCAGGTTCACCTTCATCGGCATTAACAACCAAATATTTTGGACGACCATCCGATGGTTTGTTCATGAAACTCCATTTCAAACCGGTGGGAAAGCCGGCACCACCACGACCACGTAATCCGGACGTTTTCATTTCGCCTTGTATCCATTCATGTCCTTTTAATAATATTTCTTTTGTTTTGTACCAATCACCCTAATCGATTATATATAACATAAAGTGAATCAAACATTCAATGTGAACTGTAAACTTACTCTTTTGATGGCTCCTTTTAGATGCCAATCATGACGTCCATATAGATTGGTGAAAATACGATCTTCATCGGCTAATGGGCCAAATTTAGTCTGCGATAATTTTAAAAAATCAATAATGTTATCATCAACATTTTTTTCTTCAATTACCTTAGGTGGTGGTGCATCAGATGCTGCCGTTTGTTGAAAACGTATCGGAAATAGTTTTACTTGTGATGCTTTTGTAAAGATTCGAAAAATAATAGAATGTTTCAATAAACAACAAAACAAGAACTTATGTCCGTACTATTTACCGGTTAATGTTCGATGATGCTGTAATATGGATTTCATATTTAATCGAATCACCAATGTATTCTTTAATACAATCGATCAAGAATATTCGTTTAAAAGAAAAAAAACAGAATGTAAACAAACGAAGAAACAACTCGCACATTGATACAGACAACTTTGCTAGGTCATACTCTGGAAATATTTTCCAGAATCTGAATCCTAATGAAAAATCATAATCTTCCCGTAAATTTTATCAAATGTCTGTGTTCATTTTATGAATTTTTAGCATTAAATTTTTGTATTGTAAAAAATATTGTTATTTTTTTATTGTTTTCATTTTCAGAAAAAATGCAGTTAAAAATGGACAATACAAATTCATCATCACCAGCATTGGATGAACAATCACTTTTGTCATCACAACAATCATCCATGGATTATAATTCAAGTGAAACATCAACATCAGCAAATACAAGAAAAAAAATGTATTCAACAGTACCGATATCACGTGTAAATGCCATAATGCGTTCATGTCCAAATCTAACAACTGTTAGAAATGATGCTATTGCATTAACATCACAAGCAGCCGAATTATTCATACAGGATCTTGTTCAAAATGCCTTCAAACTAAGTCCAGATAAGGAAAATCTAACATACAATACTCTAGCCGATTTTATAGCTGAATCCAAATATTCATTTTTACGTGAAGCAATTCCCCAGAAAATAACTGTTCAACAGTATAAAGAATTAAAACGACAACATGAAATTGAAATTGATAATGATGAAAATGATGATGGCGATGACAACGATGAAGAAGATGAAGATGAAGAAGAGGAATCAAATTCTCCATAATTTTTTTTTAATTTTGAATAAAAACAATCAGTATTCATATTTCAAATTTAACTAAAAATTGATTTTATCTATAAAATGTAATGGTTGAAAAAATAAAATAAATTTTATTAATCAAAGCTGACAGGAGATAAGTAAATTCTCACTATTTACAATCAAAAAAAAAAATTCCGAAAACATTAAAATTTTTTATATCAAAAAAGGAAAGCTCATCAACCACGATTAGGCATCTTTTTCACCTTATAAATTCGTACCAACCAATGTTCAGTGGTATAAGCTTCTTCCAACGTGGTCAATTCAAAATCTTTATTACCGATTTCAACACTACGTACACGATCATATCCAGGTGGTTTACCACCTTCCGTATATACTGATCCGAAACGATAATAAGACATTTTGTACATTAGGCAATTCAATAAAGTTTTTGATCCTTCTTTATCTATACGAAATTCACCACTACTCGTATAATAATCTTGTTCTTTTATGTGCCGACCACGATCAGTTGAGCCACCGATACGTACCATCCATAAGAATTTATTAATATCATCGGATGAATATCCAGTCAGGCCCCCAAATATGATTAATACATAATCAACATCTAATTCTTTCATTATTTCATATGCATGTTGTTCATCCGATGCCATTGCTTGACCTACACGTGAAATATGTGTATTATTCCAGGTATTATTATCCACAAGTATTGTACGATTAGCCATCGCTGTTATCTGATAACCATAATCCCACCAGGACATGATTTTTGCATCTTCCGGAGTGTTCATTCTTAACCAATAATATGCTTCACGAAAATCATCGAATATAATTCGACTCCCATCATGCGTACGTGCGGATAATACAATTGATGGCGAACTATATGCTTCGGATGTAACCCATATACAATGATAACCATACGATAAAAGCATACCAGTCGCTATGAATACAAAAACTGTGGCCACTTCTTTTTTCATTACGAAATTATTTTCGATTCGTTTTTGTTTACGCTCTGATTGATGTTGATGGGTTGTTAATGATGATGACTGGCCTGTTGTCAAATCCAAATGTCCGCAATAAATGCTAAGTAATTTGGATATGCCAATTCCAGATAGAATACACATGACCGGTGCCAATACTAACATTAATCGAACCATAACACCCTAAAATTCATCAAAATTATTGGTAAATATTAAGAAAAATAACAAAATACTTACAGCAAAATAAATACTAGTAACACCATACAGTATGATAAATATATTATAATCAGTAAGATTTTTGAAACAAAAATATAATCCAACGGGAAATAAAAATACAAGAATCTGTAGATCAAAATAAAATGATGACCATGATGTTGGCTGATGTTCGGAAACGGATGCAATAATTGGAATATTATTTTTGGCATATGATGGATCCAATAATGAATAAAAACGGCCAGTCCATGGTGATATTTCTGTCATGGTAAATATTTTTAAAGATAAATCTGTCTTTTATTCTTCAAAAAACGAAATACTCACTTCCAATAATTGTCAATATAACAATAGTAGCCAATGAAATAATACCGATGAATAAAACTAATGATCGAAATAGAATGCTATAATATTCTTGTGAAAGTTTTTGACGAATAAACGAATTGAAAGCATAAAGTTGACAAAGACCGAAAACACCAAAAGCTGCCATATGTTCACTAGATTGAACCGGTTGAAATCCAACAAACGGTATCTGCATCGATAACAATGTTCCTATGCAATACGTCTTGATGAAGGATGAAAAAATTGTCATTTAAAAAAATTCTGAAAAAAAATTTCAGCCTTACCGTGGAATAGGCAACATAAACACGTTTGCTAAAACGACCAGTAATCATTAATGTAAAAACATGTAACGGAATAAGATTGATAAGGAATACATAACCACCCCATGATGAAACCATATAAAAATAAGCTAATGAACACAGGCAAGACCAGAATATTGATCCAGTTTTTACTGCTTTAATCCACAAATAATAAGTGAATAGCATACAGAATATTGCTATTCCTTCATTATCATATGATCCGGCAACTGAACGAGAAATATAACCAGGTACAATCGATATCATCGCTGCGGCCACCAATCCGGATGCTTCATTCGATAATTCCTTAGTTAAAGCATATGTTATGATTGTCGTAAGTGATGAAAATAATGGAGCTAAAAATACGCAAACATCTTTAATGTCAACAGGAAAACTCAACATTTGAAGCAAATTAAATAGAACAGCCGATGTAACCATTAATCCTGGGTATATGGTACCACCAATAATACGACCCAATGGATACCAGGCTCGATCATCAAACCAATTATGAAAGCTATAGAAACCATTTTCGGCCAGATATCTTGTTGTACGATAATTAAAATAAGGATCAAATTCATGTATAACACTTTCAAAACGCAATACGGAAAATAATCGCACAAAAAACGCTACGATTTAAACATGAAAAAAGTTACGAATTTGAAATGAAGTCAACTAACAAACTTACCCAATGAAGCCGATATGACCAAGATAACAATTTTCATTAAACTAACAGTCGAATTGCTACTGTTGATGCCAAAAATGACAGGATCAGTTTTGGCAGTTGTTTGAACATGTTTTTTAGAATTTGAAAACGAATGTCCAGCCATTTTGATCGTTGTGCATAATTTGAATTAAATGACATAAATTCTAATCTCGGACGACATTTGATCAAAATACACGTGCCATAATAACACAACGGCCCATTTTTTGTCATTCTCCATGCGCGTGGCTATTTCATCCAAACAAAACCATCTGTGTATAAATAATCGTGGCGGGAAATTCAAATGTATGAGAAAAAAACTGGTTGACCTTTTGGCAAAAAAGAAGTTTTCAAGGTTTTTTTTTCTATTTATTCATTCATGTGATTAAATATTCAAAATCTCTGTTTTCCTATGATTAGATAATCTAATGATGAGAATATGCCAGATAATTTGAAATTGAAATGCACCATATGTCGAACACACAACAACTTGACGAATTGGAGAGAAAATAAAAACAAAAAACCTTTTTCTTTTTTGGAATTTCTCCATCAAATCTGAATGATAAAAAATATCACATTTTTTTTATCATTCTTGTCACAAACACACTCGACATCGATCAATCAACCGACCAAAAAAAACAGCAATAACAATTTTTGATTGAAATTGATTGATAGTAAAAAATTCTTCTTCATATTCTTTGATATTTAACATTCTGATTCTATCGTCGTTATTCGAATTGATAATAAATACATTTTTTTTTGTCAAACAAACATGATTGAATTTCTATATTAAGTAATAAACAATTTTTATTATTATTATTGAAAATGAAAAAGTAACAATGAAATTGAAATGATCAAATTTTTTTTTGTTGGAACGCCACTGTAATAAATAAAAAAATACTAAACAAACAAACAAACGAAAAAAATGGCGAGGTCATCACATAGTAAATTAATGTAATTCCGTATGTCATACGTGTTATGCTGGAGAATTAACAAGGAAACATTACAAAATGAAAATTTAACTTCATTGCCTACATTTGTCACGATTTGTTGTGAGAAAAAAAAGAAGATTTTTGAGTTCAATATTCGTATATTCGTAAATATAAATCATTCGTTTCATTGTTTTCTTTTTTTTAAAAAAAGTTTTTTTCTTGGTGACAATTCCTACGCACTGGCCATAATTCACAAACCTTGAGATAAAACTTACATATACGAATGAAAGAATTAATGATTTTTTGGTGAAATTTGTTTTTGTTTTCAGATACTTTGTTTTCGTTTTTTTCAATGTTCATATTCTATGAAAGAATCGTTCAATTTTTATTATTCTATAATAGCCTTGTTTGTTTGTTTGTTTGTTTGTCTATTCAAGGATAATATTCATTCTTGATCATCATCATCATGTTCTTGCCATACCATTAAAATTGAAGTTTATTGACAGAGAAATATTCTTTAATTTCTTTTTTTTTCTTTTTTCTCCATAACTTTCCGGTAGCTATATAAAATATGCAAAAGATATTAATTCATAAACCTTATTCAAGGTTAATCTATTTATACAAACACAAAAACGCCTATATTGACATTGCATGTCAACTTTTTTTTTCTCAAATAATAATCAGATCAAACAAAAATATGTTTATCCAATATCAAAATCTAATCTGATTTAATTTTTTTTTATTATTATCAATCAACTAGATTAAAACTAGGCGATTCGTTTTTTTTTGATTGTCATCATTATTTTAATTTAGAAAAAAAGGCATAGAACGTTTTAATTTGGAAAAATTATCATGGTCATGAATAGTGTTTTTTTTTGTTGTTGTTTAAATCCCAAAATTTATACAGTTCCAAATTCCTGTGTGCAGAAAATGCCTTGACATAAACAGAATTTTTACGTGTAACAAGAAAAAAAAATCATAAAAATGATGAATATGAATAAAAAAAATGGCAATGTGAATAATTCCTGAGAAAATTTCGGCCATGGTCCCGTTCTTTTTTCTTCTTTTTATATATTTCTACCACATTATATTGTTCTGATTTGTTTTGAATTGTCATCATCATCATATTAAGGATTCGGATTCTGGGCACCAGAATTATACGATTTACACATGCAAAAAAAAAAAGAATCATACACGCATGTATTATTTGAAATGACCGTCGTATCAATACTTTATGGATATTTCTTCGGATCATCATCATCACCATCATCATTTGAGGTCCTTGAATCTTGTGAAGGTTTTTTTTTGTTGAAAATGTGTGTAGGTCGCCATTCTCTCCCCATTCTGCTTAGCATTGGTCCATAATAATTTGATTGGTGACGTTTTTTTTTAAATGTTACGGTTCTGTTTCGGTTGGATTTTTTTAAAACATTTTCCAATTGACAGGAGGTGTGTTTTTTCCTCTCTCTTTCTATCTCTTGGGCGTCATTATCACATTCAATTCGATTTTTTTCGGTTAATTCAATTCGATTATTACCGCCACTACCATTACAACATCGAATATAATCAAATATAGCGCATGCGATATTTTTGTATGGATTTATTTCTGTTTGGATACGTTGTAACCAGAAACAAAATAATTTGCTGATGAGAGAATAATATAATAATCCATGTGATAATGGCGCCCACTACTATTATTGCCACTACTTAATTTGGCTCCCAGGCTCCATATTTTTCTTCCTTTTCCCTTTGTCTCTTGTCATTCCTCTCTTTTTCTCGTTTTTTTTGCATGGTTGGTGTTTTTACATTGTGGAAGGATATGAACTGACAGCGAGAGAGAGAGAGAGAGAGAGAATGGCGTGAGAAACATACAGAGAAAAATAAAAATAAATACTTTTTTCTTTTCATTTGAATTCAAAATACAATGCAAAATGTATATAGAAGAGAACATAGAGTGAAATAAAATATTTAAAAAAAATTCAAAAACCAGAGCCAACTAATAACGACAAGTTCTATACAGATACTAATATCTAAATAACATAACCAACAACAACAACAGAAAAAAATGCGTTTTTACCTGCAACAACACTTAAACCAGAGGCGTAAAAATCTTCTGATCATCAAAGGCAATCAACAATTTACTAAAGTTTATTAAATGTTGTTTTTTTTTTGTTGATCCAAACATTGGTCATAACAAATTGGATCCTAGCAAATTCAATAATAAGGAAAAAAAATAGATCAAGATTTAACTATAACAAAAAAAAAAATGTTAATCAGAAAATCCATCACAATGAGACAAAAAAAAAATTTCTCCTAAATTCAATTCCAATTAAATTTTTTTTTCAAATTTTATAAAACATAATCAGCGGTGGCATCTTTTTCTCATTATTATTATATTCAACCTGACCATCATTATCCTCTTATCCGTAACAAACAACGACAACAATAATAACCAGCGTATATATCATGATGATGATGATGATGGTCTCATTTATCCATTCAATTCAATTCAATTCATAAACTTATGATATATAGTAGTAGTAGTAGTGATATTTATTACAATATTATGAACCACTACTTCTTATTTTTTTTTTGGCTATTATATTACACATCATAATGAGCAATACATTCACAAACGACGAACGAATATTTTTTCCTTTACTTTTTTATCCGATGTGTATACCATACGTTTAATTTGTGTGTGTGTAAATGTGAGTAAAACGATCAAACAACAATAACATTATATACATCATCACAGTTATTATATACACGCACTGTATTTTAGTGTAATAAGCAAGTAAAGATAAAAAAAAAAATTTAAACGAAACGAAACATCGAGCTCGATCCTCATCAAAATCATCCTTTATCGTCATCATCATCATCATCGTCGTCGTCGTTGTCGACAACATCACCAATTGCTCCAAGTTGAGTTAATTTTCCTCGAACTTTTCTGTATTGGTGGTGGCTCCTTATGATTGTTTGTTGTGTGTATCATTTGTGTATTGCTTTATTGTGCACACACTATCAAAAAGAAAAAAGTGTACGTAGATATTTCATATGTAAGAAAAAAAAATATTAAAAGGGGTTTTTGATCATCATCATTATTTTAAACGTTTTTGTTGTTTGAGGATTTTTGCCGATCAATTTCAACCAATAATATTATCATCAAATGAAAAGTCATCAAAATATGTAATGATTTCAGATAAACAAATATTTTGCCTATTTGTATTTTCTTTTTACTCAAAAATATTTACAAAAACAACGACAAAAAGATTTACGTTTGTCTGTGTGTGTATGGGTAAAGTGTTCCAGAATAAAAAGATTTTCAGGTTCGTTTGATTATCCAATCGAACAATCTATCCATTCGAATTTTTTGTTTTCGAAAATTTGGACCCAAAAACTTTTTCAATCATCTATCTATCTATTGATTATTTATTCAATGTTGTGAATGATGTGTGTAAATTGATTGATTCGAGATATCATCATTATCGACATTATTGATCATTACTAGTCCTAGTTAAACAAGCCCTTTTTCATCATTTGATGAGATCAAATTGAAATTTGAAACATTTAGTGTGTTGGCCAATTTTTTTGTTGTTATTGCTTTTGATTTCGTTCTGAGACAAGTGTTTCATGTAAGTTTCTTTTTTTCCTATGTCTGTTTGTGTTGTTTTTTGTTTCTGTTTCGAATAATAATGATGATGATGATGATAATGGAACATATTGCCATGTAAACTTGTTCCATTTCATTCATTACGAATAGTAAACACGATTCGACAATTTTTTTTTGACTCGTTCCACTGTGGCTTCCATTATTCGTTCTTCATCGAATCGATTCGTATGTTCCACATGTTTAAGGTTTCATTCAATTTTTTTTTTGTTTAGTTTCTCTTATTATCATCGACATCATCTCATATTGTATGGAAGACGAAACACGATAGAAAAAAAGTGAGCTGTTGTTGTTTATCGACATCTTTTTTATATTTTGGTCAGTAACCGAAAACAAAACAATTTCAACATCATATATCAAGAATAATAATGATGTCCTTTGTGTGTGTGTGTGTTTTGTCACTGATCTAAATTTTGTTTCTAATTTCAAAATTCAGTAGCCATATAGTGTTAATATGATGAATACAGATAGATTAATCGTCACCAAAATAATTTTAGGAACGAAAAAAAAACGATCCATCAGGTATTTTTACTCCATTGATATTGATCATTATCGGCCAAATGAATATAGCGAAAAAATGAAAATCAATTCAAGTTAATTTTTCTCATTTGATTTATTTAAGTTGTTGCCCTGTCTATCAACCTCAATATTATCATCACTCTTTAAAAAATTTGTATTTTTTTTTTGTCCCTTACATCCTATTGGTTGATATGTTTTCTGGGTGTATGATATCATGCCATCATCAACAAGATATTTATGTAACAGAAAAAATGCTCATCATCATCATCATAGTCGTAGTTTTGATTAAATTTTTTCGGGGTTTTTTCTGATTATAAAAATCAATAATGATCTTCACAATGATTCGAAATTAGTTATGTATGTTGGACATAATTTTCAAAAATCAATCCTTTTCTATTCTTTTTTTTCTTAAATCAACAAAATGATTGTGTCATATTGACAATTTTGATCAAACAAAATGTAAATTATTTGACGAATGAATAGAATGGTTTTTCCTAAGAATTGAAATTCGAATGTTTGAATTTATTATCACTTTTTTTTACTCAGTTTTCGTAAACTTTTTTTTAATTGTTTTGTGATTCATTGTTTTTCTCATGGCTAACCTGTTTTTTTATATTTTTTGTTTGTTTGATTATTTTTGTATAGCAGTAAATTTTCACAATTTCTGGAGCACCAATTATGTTTTAAAAACTAAAGAACTGACACATGTCTCTTTTTTGGCCGGTCATTTTGGTTGGTGGCTAAAATTCATGGAAAAAATCGTGAATAATTATCATATATAGTCAATATAAAAATTTGATCATCATTTCTAATATAAAATATATAAAAATAGAAGAATCAATATAAAACAAAGAAACGAATTCGTGATCGTATATATAAAGTAGGAAAATTTAAAAGAAAAAAAATGTCCAAGTCAAATTTATGTAATACGGTTGTTGGCGATAAATATCGCATTATACGATCAATCGGTGCCGGTTCATTTGGCGATATATATCGTGCAATTAATCTACAGAATGGTGAAGATGTTGCCGTCAAAGTTGAACCGGTATCAGCACGACATCCACAACTTCGTTATGAAGCACATGTTTATAAATCGATACAGAATTGTTTCGGCTTTCCAATGCTTAGATATTTCGGTATTGAAAAAAATTATCAAATTATGATCATCGACCTGTTGGGTCCATCATTGGAAGATCTATTTGCATATTGTCGACGGCGATTTTCATTGAAAACCGTATTAATGTTAGCCGATCAGATGCTTATCCGTATTGAATATCTACATTCACGTGGTTATATTCACCGAGATATTAAACCAGATAATTTTCTAATGGGTATCGGACGTTTTTCACCACGTGTTTATCTCATCGATTTTGGTCTTGCGAAAAAATATTATGATGTACGTACTGGGAAACATATTGAATACCGTGAGGATAAACATCTTACAGGAACGGCACGTTATGCATCAGTCAATGCTCATTTAGGTATCGAACAAAGTCGCCGTGATGATCTTGAATCATTCGGTTATGTGTTGATCTATTTTCTTCGTGGTTCATTACCATGGCAAGGTCTGAAAGCATCAAATAAGAAACAAAAATACGATCGTATAACCGAAAGAAAAATGTCCACACCAATCGAAGCCCTTTGTTTGGGTTTTCCAGCCGAATTTCAAATGTTTCTCAACTATTGCCGTGGTTTACGGTTTGAAGAGGATCCAGATTATATGTACTTACGGCAATTATTTAGAATATTATTTCGTAGTCATCATTATGAATATGATTATGAGTATGATTGGACGATACGTAAAGAAATTGAAAGGCGCGCTGGTATTGATAATAATTATAATAATATGGCCAATACAAAGATACCGCCTAATAAACAGCAACAAATGCAACCGGATTCTGCACATGTGCATGATGGTTTATTTGAAAAGAAATAGTGATTTTTTTTTTGTATATTATATTCTAAACAATATCTGCATTCAAAAACATATTCAAATATCCGTTGCATTACATTTTATCATAATAAAGATTGAGAGAATTGAAGAATTAAAATGTGAAGTATCATCTTCGATGATGTGATTACCAAACAAAATGATAAGGTTTTTTTTTATTTTCAAAATGAAAAATTCCTTCCTCAAATATATGTAATTGGCTGCCAACAGAATCGTTATCTTGCAGAAATTAACAACAACAACTTTCCGCATCAAATTCAAGTCAATTTTATTCTCATCGATATCGCTATTTTTTCAAAAGCAAATATCATTCATGAAAGTATCATTTGCTTAATTGAACAGGTACATAAGCGAAATACGGAAATCTCATCATGAATGTTACAATTTACATTTTTACTTCACCCCTCTTTCGAAAAAAAAAAACTAAATTCGCAATTCATCTTCACCCTACAAGATTTCATCATTATTGTTCATGAGGAAAAAAGAAATATCAACATTGAATGCCATTTTATCGTCTGTTGTTGATTTGTTTGTCATTATATTCCCACATTTCATATGCTGCCTGTTGTAATCAAATTCTCTTTTTTTTTCGCAATCATACATTTTATTGTTCACACCTACACCAGACAAACGCCCAAAAAAATTTATTCAAATGAAAAAAGAATTCCATCCCTTTCCCGAATTTCTTTTTTTTTTCCCTTATTTAGGATTTTTAGTCAATAAAAAACAATCAATTTTTTGTTTGTTTGTTTGTTTGTACACATACACCCTGAGCCCATACAATCACAAAGACACACACTGACAGAAACACACTCATTCGTTGATTGGCTAATGATTTTGGATGAATGATTGTTCCAACATTCGGCGATTCTATTCTGTCATGATGATTGTTGTTTGCTTTTTGTTGTTAATATTGTTAATGTTAATGTTTCATCATGAAAAATGTTTGTCCATTTGTTATTTGTCATCATTGATTATTACCATTCATGAATTTGTGTAATAATAATTGTTTGTAAGTGTGTGTGTGTGTGTTTGTTTGTTATAGGATGTTATAATTTTTTTTCTGTTCTCTTTTATTTCCTTTTCCCAAAATTTTGTTCATCATTGTCATCATCATCATCATCAGCACTCAATTTTTACATTATATATCCGCTTATTATTAATATTGATATTATTTCAAAACTAATATTCAATTATTTGTTCTCTCATTCTATATATATAAAAAATATAAATTACAAAAGCAAAAATCCTTTATAAATATATTATTAATAATAAAAAAAAGTCAATTCACAAAAAAAAGAAAGTTTGAAATTATTAATCATTTTTTTCAAATGCAAAAAAAAAGATAGATTATCTTTTTACTATGAATTCGGAAACGGAATTATCAATGACCATGATGGCAACTAATTGCACCACCTGTTTGGCCTTTGTCGAAAATATTATCATCATCATTTTGTTTTAAAATATTTTTATATAAATTGTTCTTGTTTGTTTGTTTGAATTTTTTTTTGTATATCTCTGCCTTTCAAGCAATAGCAGCCATATGGACGAAATTTCACCATCATTCATCGAAATATAACAAAAAGAAAAATTTATGATTATACAATCACCATCAATTGATGACAATATAAATTTAATGATCATGATGAGCACATGGACAAACATTTGCCTATTATCATCAATCGTTATCTTTGTTTTGGCATAGATCGAATTGAAATATCAATATAAATTTATAAAAACAAAGCAATCAATGAAATCGAAATTTAAAAAAAAAATGAAAAATATTTTCTCTTTTTTCATCATCGACCATTTTTTTTTGTTTTTGTTGGTATTCGTTCAACATTATCGACAACACGATGAATAATGAAAATATAATTCAACATCCACCTCAAAGATACACATTTATTGTAAAAATATTAAACAATTTGATTGTATGGGCAAACCATTGGCAAATACAAAAAAAAACAATGGCCATTTTTGTCTCTTTTGTTGTAATCCATAGGATCTAGAGTTTAAAGTATCGTTTACTTGTATTTCAATTATTTTTCTACAGCCTCATGTAAAACATGATGGAGATCAAAGATCCAAAAAGCTACGGCTTGCCATGTTGGTTTGCCATCCAACATTTACACTTTCACAATGAATGATACTCTGATATATTCGTTATTATTAAATGATTGATTGTTAATGGATCGATATATATCTGAAAATTGAATCAATCGATTTGGATAATGGTAGTTATGATATGAAGGAGATCGATATCGATAGACAAAACAATTGACTTTTTTTCTTCTTTTTTATTTATTTCGATCATTCTATTAATCTAAATACAGATGTATATCTTCGATTTCTTCATCATTGTTATTAGAGAAAAAAATAATTCCAAGTTCTTGCCATTTCTGGTTACCATCATCATTATCATCAGCATCAGCATTTTTTTTGATATGATTAATCTAATTAACCACAAAATCCAATCAGTCATTGATCAACGAGTTTTTTTCTTATTCCTATTTCTTATTTGTTGTTTGCGAATGTTGAATTGTTATTTTAAAAAAAAGTTTATGTAGATATGACTGACGATCAATTTTACATCCGATTATTATTATCGTTATCATTGATGTAATCCACAAATATAAATGGAAAAATGATCAATTGGATATTCGAAAAAATTCAATCCATCACTGTCATACTTACCTTTCTATCTGATGATAATAATAATATTGCTATTGTATCATAGTGTGGTTGATAGTAAAACAAAAAAACTTTCTTTGATTAATTGTTTATACTCAGCGATGATGTCGATGATGATTATGATGATTAGATTTTTGATTTTCAAATCTAAAAGTCGATATTAAAATTATTGATTATTTGCCGTTCATAATGAATCATAAAACAGGTTTTGATGACCAAATCAAATTCGATTTCAATGTCAAATCTTATTTTATCTAATTCTATGATACAAAACAAGTTTTTTTTCTTAGAGATTCTTTGTTTTTTTTCTCATTGAACTATAAATGGATAAGAAACAAAAGGACCCGATTCAAATTGACGGATATGGAACTCGATCGATTTAAGCAACAATAATATGAAAAAGCAACGACAAAAACTATAATTTAAAAATCTTTTTTCCTCATATCTTTCAAGTGCACAAAAATTCATAAAATTTTCCAATTAATCAATAAAAATTTTGTTGACACCAAACATTTTGATCGTGAAAATCATAATTATTTTTTTTTTAATGTAACTTTTTCAAACCGACATAGGCAACAACAACAAAAACGTGTCAATTTTTATGGGCTATCGATTATTGACAACAATCATCGACAAACATGATTGTCATCATGCTAATGATAATGTTCGACATGTCAATAATTTCCTTATTTTTCACAAAAAAAATTTGCGAAAATGAATGAAAAGAAGAAACAAAAAAAAAAAATCGAACTCGATGATCATGATAAGCATACAATCTTTAACATTCAAAATTCGAACATCCGAATTTCTTATTCGGCATTTTACTCTCTTTTGAATACATGAAAAAAATTCACATTTTTCAAATTATTATTTGGGAGAAAAAAGGTGGCCAATATTTAACGAACAAAATTTTTATTTTCTTAAACAAGCGCTTCTTCTTCTATATATCACCTTAAATCACCATTGTTATGTCACAAGTTATTATCATGAAAATGTTGATACAGATGTTGACGTTGGCGTTGTTCCAATATATATTACAGATACAGTCAAAATGAAAAGTATTACTATTGTAGCGTTTGGCTTTTTTTTTTGCCATCCGTAACGATCCAGAACCGATGCCAAACACACAAACACTTTCATTCGCCTTATTGAAATGTCCATTCATATTATTCACCATAAGATCATCACACTATGGCAATAATTATCATCTGTACATTGTCAAATGAATGAAAAAAAATACATTTGTCCATCATGACCAATTGTTTGGCTATCTCTCCATGAAAAATGATCGTCATCATTGTCAAAATACTTGAACGAACGACCACACGGCATAGATAATCAAAGTTCTCTTACTTTTAAATGCAAAACAAAACAAAAAATACGGCCACGCGTATGATGAAGATGATGAAAATCTCCTTCTTCAAAGACAAAAACAAAATTGACAAGATAAATAAAATATCGTAAATAGAGAACTGATTTTTTTTTGTTTGTTTGATCGTCAACAAAAAAAACCGACCCTTTTCACAGATATTAATGTCGTTAATTCGGATTTAAGTATAATCTAATTTTGAAGTGGAGGAAAAATCTGATTTAGAAAAATTTCATTTTATTCAAAGTTATTATTAGAATTTTACACAGTTTACATTGTGTGAATTTAATGGAATTTCATAATTTCCTATGACTAAAATATCATTTGAGATTATTTCGATGATATTTTTACGAGACGAATATATGTGTATTGAATGTTTATTTTGATAATGAACGAAACAAAACAAAATGGCAGATGATAATCTTATGAAAATGTTGCTATTATTTATTTCGATTTTTATAAGTATTTTGATTGGATTTAGGATTCCGAGTATTTCGTCCACTTCCGCCAAGGCTGCCTCCTCGTCCACCTGGACCACCACCACTATTTCGATTTAACATTGGCCGTTTATTCGTATCGATTTTACCACGTGATTGTCGTTGATGTTTGGATTCTTCTTCACGAACCATATCGATAACTTCATCAGGTATACGAAGATATTTAATATTTACACCACGTATATAAACTTCTGGCATACGCCAAAATCGATCACCATCACGTGATGTACAGATTACTTCACGGAGATTGATATTCATCCAATTATCACAGCTTACCAAATGGCCATTATAAGTTTCACCATTTTTTAGCTCGACTAACATTGGATGATTCTGAGCAGTACGTAACAATGTCAACGGTAACATCTTTAAGTCGATCGAATTTGATATTTTAGAGAAAATGATGTAATCTGAATGGGTTGTTGAAAAAATAGGATAACTTAGATTTTCGAAATGAGTTAAGATGAGCGGTTTTCGAATCACCTGATCATTGACAAATAGGATATCGATTGTATCGATAAAAAATATATTCATTTCTTACTGCGGTGACATCTGACGTTCAAAATTCCCATTAACTGATTAATCTTATGATTCTATAACGCTGATGTTCCAGGAGAGTTTATTGACATTAGCCTGATCCAGAATCTTTGTGTGTGTGTGTGTTCCCAAAGAAGTTCCAAAGTCAGTCGATGCCTAGGTCTATATTCATCTGTTTACCTCATACTATTCAATCGATTTTTTTCCGCTTATAATGATGACGATTATTAGTTGAATGGAATGATCAAAATTCCATTGAAATGGTCTTAGCCAGATGGGATTATTTGCCTTCAAATTTGATTGAATTGATTGTAGCCAATTTGACCGATTTACATGATGTATTATCATGTATGTTGGTATGTAAAAAATGGTATTATACATTAAATGATGAGAGATCGGATATATGGCGGATATTCTGTCAAAATAAACTCTCCAAAGCTGTACTGAAATCAAATGTTTTATCAAGTCTAATATCGTGCAAGGCAAAACTTCGTGCCTTTTATTATTCATGGGATTCAAATGAATGTTCACGGAATATTTATATCAAACCAAATGGCTTTACATTGCATCGCAATCCAGTTGCTCAAAGTAATTGTTTATTTGAAATTTTTTTTTACCACTTATCTATTTAATTTTTTCTAGGCACCGATGCAGCCAAAGGTAAAATCGGATTCCTAACCGGGCGCCATTGTTGGGAGGTTTGTTGGGATGGTCCACTTGGAACCGTAGCTGTTGTTGGAATTGCAACTAAAGAAGCAAGCGTTCAAGCACAAGGTTATGTTGCATTGATTGGATCAAATCCACATAGTTGGGGTTGGAACCTTGTAGAAAATCATCTTGTACATGATGGCCATTGTATTGGATCATATCCACGTCTTAATAATGCACCACGGTATCAAACGGGTGATCGTTTACGTATTATTCTTGATTGTGAATCACAAACTTTAGCATTCGAACGTGATTATGAATTTCTTGGTATTGCATTTTATTCGTTGCCTCGTAAACCATTATATCCTGCCGTATCGGCTGTTTATGGCAATACCGAAATATCAATGGTCTATCTGGGCTATCCATTAGATGGATGACAATCTCATAAAATTAGGAATTTTTTTTTGCAATTTCTATACAAATAATTTAAAAAATAAATAAATAAATCTATTCAATAATCTAATTATTTCTCTGAAAAAAATTATGAATGGGACAAGAATTTGTTTCTGGTGGATGTCATATATGACCCACGCACATATACTCAAACATTTGCAGTTGCTCAATATTTTGTAAATGTTAAAATTCTGCTGCGGCATCATAATTTTGTTTTCTGATCAGTTAACTTTGTTATTAATTTGGAATGATAAATTCACCGATTCCATAGATTTTGCATTGCCGATAATGATGTCGAAATCATGAAGTCATAAATCATAAAATCATTCCATTTAAGAATATGAATTTTTTCCATTTTCAAACAATTTGCATCGTTTGGATTCTTGTCATCATCATTCAGTTTATTGATGGATGTCAAATTGATAATAAAATGATGCATGTATGTTTACATACATATCTGGAAAGAGATTTTTCAATCATTGAAGAGTTACTAAAACGTCCTCCGTATAGTAAAAATGGTCATATATTGATCGAAGAAAGTGAATATGAAGACATGTGCCTCAAAATTGATGAATTAAAACATTGTTATGAACGAATGATGTCATCATGTATTTCCTTTGTTCAATATGATCATATGAAACGTGTAATAAAAACATTACGTTCGTTATATGAAAATCTTTGCGGACAATCATTTTTAATTAGATATCTAATTGAAGGTGGATATTGTATTGAATATATTCGCCAAGAAAGTATTTGTCTTGATTCGAATCCAAACAATACGATTCCATCGCTACCCGAACGTCAACGATGGCCATTTTCATTAACTTCAATGTTTCGTTTCGAAATTGGACATCAGATTTGCCCATATCTGTCAAGCTTTAATCAATGCCTTTCACCTTTTATTGATTTAAGATGTCCAGAAACAACACGTGAATTATGGAATAAATCAATGAATAGTTTATTGAGCAATTGGTGTTATAATAATGCTATTATACGCGAATTTTCAGTTACAAATCTGATTATTTTATTATTATCACATCTAATTATTTTAAGGTTGGTTGAATGGTAATAAAAGAAAGAATTTAATTTTTGTAATACAATAAAAAAAATATTTCTACAAAAAAAACGAAAAATAAAAACTAAAATTCATTCATTATGACGGATTAATATCATCGGAAGACATCATCATTTGTAATGCGTTCTTTGAATTGTCGGTATTCTTTGTATCGGCTTTCTGCCCAAAGCTAAAAACAAATTAGTCGATAAAAATTTGTAATAAAAAAATTGCTATTAAACATACGCAATATTTATCACGACGTTTTGGTTCCGCTATTGTTTCCCATAAGCAAAATAAAATATCAATCATTTGTGCAAACAATACAAATACTTTGCTTTCCCTGAGTAATGTATTTGGAGAATTGCAAGGATCTTGTCGATAATTTGAACCATAAATATTACAATTTTCATCCAAATAATAGCGAATGAAACGTAACATTTTTTCATCATTTATAATACCTTCATCGGAATATTGTTCGAATTTCTCACAATCAGCAAAATATCGTCCAATATCCATACCACGAAGATTATAACCAGAATAATCAAAATCAATAAATTTTATATCCGGTTGTTGTTTGTTAATAATAAAGATATTACTGTGATTAAGATCCTGATGACAAAATACAATGATAGGATCTATTGCTTCAATTTGTTTACGTAGAAATTCACATTCAATTTGAACATTATAATCGATTATAGTATGACATTTATTCTCTCTCAATGCTTTCATTCCAAACGATGATTCATTGTAGAATTGGTTCCAAAATTTTTCATCTGCCCATTCTTCAAATATATATCGATATCGATCTTTGTAAGAATTTTTTGCTATCGGTACTTGTAACGAATGAAATCTTGCTAATCGTGAGGCTAATAATTGAATAAATTTTTCATCATAATCATTTTGTCGGTTGAATGCTTTGGCCTGTTGGTTAATTCAAAAGATAGAATAATTTATTAATTTTTAATCCATTCAATCGAATTATTCGAAAATGTATACATCGATATATTCCATTGCAATGTAATCATCACCAGTCAAATATATTTGGGGTCCTAATCTTTCAAAACTTGCAATCAATGAATTCATTTTGGATTCATATGGATCATATGGTGTATTGGGACGAAAAAGTTTAATAACCAATTGTTGAATCGGTATTCGATGATTTTTATCGTACACAAGCGGCTTTTCATCATTTTTAAAAATGATTCGATAAATGTCACTGACACGACCTTGACTGTATGAAAAAAAGATCAAATTATTTTAAATTTCAAATTCACTCTAGAATAAAATTGTCCAACAAACTCGAATTCTAAAATTTTGATATCATCAATAGTCACATGGAATCCAATAGACAGTTGATTACAAATTTTCAATAATCGTTTATCCCTGTTCGAAATCGATGGCAATTGATTATCCATAATGTTGATGATTTTCAAACACAATTCAATCCAACAATTGAATCAACTCCTAAATCATCATCCTCATTATAAATAACAATAATGATGATGATAATCTCAAGACAGATTTTATGCACTTTGTACTTATAATCATCATCATCATAAATTAATCAAATCCTAACTAAAGCTGATAAAATTCACTGCGAAATATACAAAGCAGACTATTTATGACAAAAAAAAAATTTATTCCAAATTGACCGAAAAAAAATTCATAATAATGATTTTTCTAGACACACAGATATACAAAATAATAATAATGATAAAAAATTTAAATAAATCGTCATATGGCTGCTTGTTTGATTGAATGATTGCTATACATTGGGTAAATCATGAATGACAATATGTAGAAAATTATCTAAATAGCTAAGATGTTCACTCATCCATTGTAATGGTGTATCCATTTCTGGTTGAATACCATGTACAATTAAATTATATTTATCATTATTTAAATATTCATCACCGAGTACTTGTATGATTAGATCACGATATGTTGCTGGATCACCTGAATCCAGTATTGGTTTAATTAATTTCTGTATGAGTAACGGTCGATCACCACAAGTTTGTGTTCGTATATAGAAACGAAATGGAATATAACGAAATGTTTGTTGATTGTTGGCCGGTGCCATTAATCGACGATTAATTGACCAGAATTGATCAAATTTATGATTTACAACGGCCATCCATAGTTGATTATGATCTTTCTTTGGCATTGTTGATACGATAGGTTCACGACGTTTGAGCGCATCGGCTTCTTTTAGGCTTGAAAGAAAAGCCGATTCCATTGATGATCGATTATTGCAACGAACTATCGTGTCTTCGGGAAAACGCTACACAAAAAACAAATTCCAATTGAATTAAATTTTTTTTTTACAACTTTTCATATATCATACATCAAAATTTACAGTTATATTCCATGGCAGTTGAATATCAGGCTGGTACAGATCATATAAAAGACCGATGGGATAATTACTATAAAAAATAATTATTAATTATATGATTCATTTGTTTAATTTTGATAATATCTACAATTTCAATGGTATATCCAAATATTCTAGCCATAAATTAGCTGAGGTTTTATTAGTTGTGTCGATGAATTGAGAAAAATAGACAGCTATTTTGTCGATGATCAGTGAAAAATAAGAAAGACGAGGTACCAACGACTGTATGAAAAAAGAATAAAAGACAAAAAAAAATGATCAAAGTTTGAAATTAAAAAAAAACTCACGTAATATGGTTCAGGAATTTTGATCGAATGACAATCCTGGTCGGATAGATGAAATGCGACTGGCAACGTCGAATCCCAAAGATAACGTAAAATTTCACCGTCTTCGGCCATTTATGTATGAGGGTTTTCTAAGTTTTCGACAAAATTTTCTTTAATTGATTATCACATTGTTTTAGAAAAATAGTTTTGATTTAGATTCAAAGTTTTTTCTGAGGGGTGGTGAAATGATCAAGTTTTTTGATGATACGAGAATTGATACCTGCAACTTCTTCATATAGAATGTTACGACATGCGATCATTGATGTTTACGCAACGCTTTGTAACAGCATGTGTTTTTGTGTATGATAATCTGAGATTAAATTTTTAATTCGAATTTGGGTAAAAAATGGGCTCAAATTCTTCTAAAGAAGTATCCGGACCATTAGGTACCGTTACAATCAATGATAAAAAAGAAAATGTTCCTATAAAATCTACACCACCAAGTGGTTGTCCAATGCATTCGGCAGAATCAAATCAACCACAGTCAACAATCGTTTCTGAATGTCCAATAAATCCGGATAATCGTATGCCAATGGAAGCAAATCAGCAACCATCAGAAGGACAACCATTCGATCTGAGCAAAAATCGTCAAAAATCAACAATACCGAAATTTAATCCACCAAATGAAAATGAAAAATATTGGGTTTATCCTTCCGAGCAGATGTTTTGGAATGCAATGCTACGAAAAGGTTGGAAATGGCAAGAAGCAGTTGAAGGTAAAGATAAAACGATAAATAATGAAAATTTCACATCAAAAGATATGAGTGATATTATTAAGATTCATAATTTCAACAATGAAATGGCTTGGCGTGAAGTACTTAAATGGGAAATGTCATTCCATCTGAAAGAATGTCCATGTGGACCGACATTAAAGCGTTTCGGAGGTCGAGCACAAGATTATTCACCGAGAGCGAGAATTCGAAGCTGGATGGGCTATGAGTTACCTTTTGATCGACATGATTGGATTGTTGATCGTTGCGGTAAAGAAGTTCGATATGTAATCGATTATTATGATGGTGGATTTCTTGAAGAAACAGGAAATTTTGCCCTACTTGACGTACGACCAGCGTTGGATTCATTCGAAGCACTTTGGGATCGAATGAAGGCTACTTATTGGCGATGGACACATGAATATTTTAATTATGGTAACAAAGAAACATCATCATCAGCGCAACAAGCAGCCAAGCAATCGGAATAATTTTTTTTGTTCTGTTTTCATTGTATTTTTAGTGTATTGTAATCATGTAATATTAATTAGTCATCATTTATTGATTAAAAATGATTAAAATGATTCATTTTTAACAAAACGTGTTATCATATCTAATGCTACTTTTGGCTGATCATACGGTAATATATGGCCAGCATTTCGAATGATAACCTGATAAAGATTACCGGCTTGTCGTACATAGCCGGCAACTGATGGATCATTTGGGCTAACACGATAAATTGAACGTTGAGCCGAATGATATTCATTTGATCCTTTCCATTTTAGATGTTTTAGAAAATTTTCAGTCAATGGTGCAGCTACGATTATATCCAATTGTCCGCTGTAAAACAATAATCGATAATTGGCATCCAATAATTGCTCGATCCATGGGCTTACACTGGCCATCATATCATTGATTAGATGTTCTTCAACAAGAACAGAATCATCACCATAATGTAAATTACCCACATGTATTGATTCACGTGTTTTAGCTGATGCCAAGAATTTCGAATAATAATTAAAATCATCTGGTTGTCGATCATAAAGAATGTTGTAATAGAAATTTAAACCAGTTGCATTGAGAAAATATGATTTCTTATCAAAATCACCATCCAAAAGGCGATCAAATATTTCGGCTGCTTTTTTCATCTGTCCATTTTCAACATATTTTATAGCCAATCGTTGTTCTTGTTTAAAATGATCCCGTTGAATTTCATCAACTAAGCCAACCTGATAAAGATAATCACCATAATCAAACATATGTCTTGGATCGGAAAATCCATCGCCAATTGCGAAACCTTGAAGATTTATGCCGGATTTCTTAGCAGCCTCGCCCATGGTGTGAATTTTATATCCGATGGCTGGAACGTATTTTCCAGCATATGATTCACCAGTTAGAAAAAATGGATTTCCTTTATATTCATAGTAAAGAGTGAAAAATTGTCGTAAAGCTTCATAAAGATTTTCGGCAACATCCACTTCGTTGGTAGCATAACCACGATCATCTTTTGTGAAACTAAAGCCCGTACCGACCGGATTATCAATGTATAAAACGGCAAATTCACGATTCCAGGTATAATCACTCATATAAGGCATCCCGTTTACCGACACTTTAATCGGACCATTTTCGACAAACAAACCAAACAGTGAAGATCCACCAGGACCACCTTGAAGCCAGAGTAAAACAGGAACATCAGTTTTTCCTGACTAAGTATGAAATTGGAAATTTGATATTAGATTTAGGTGTCAAATTTAAAAAAATGCATACCAAGGCAGGAAAAAACCAGAAAAACATATTTGAATCATATGTTTTGTTTACGGTTAGAAATCCGGAATAACTTTCCAATTGAAGATCAGGTAAGCCAACAACTTTACTTAAGCTACGTCCTTCCTTCAATTGACCGGATTCAATGTACGGTGTTAGAAATAATGGTTTTGATTCTATTGATTGTAAAAATAGATTAGCCGGTGCAGTTGATGGATAAAGATTATTTCGTAAAAAACCATTCGATAATCCTACGATCAAAAAGATCATAAAAATTATTGAATTAATTTTAATCATCATGAAATTTAAGGAATTTTAATTTGTGCTAAAAATCAATTGATCAAACAATAAATTGCTACGTCGAAAGAAATTAACATATTTGATAACAGTATCAATTTCTTTTTTACATTCGTTGCCTATGTTATCATCATTTTTTCTAATCAAATCACTTGATATTAATTTATCTATATAATATTTTTTTTTCTAACGTCTGTCATTATATGTCAAATTGATACTTAAAAAAATGTGTATGCGTGTCATGTTAGCAATCCGGCGTGTTCACTATCATCGGAAATAATTTTTCAAAAATTTAAAAATTTAACAAATTGAAATACGATTGCCGAAAAACAAATAAAGTTTATTTGTTAAAACAACAACAAAATCAAAATGTGAAATGAATTTCTTTGAAAGAAAAATATCTATTATTACAAACAAAAAAAAAAATGTTTGTTAATATAATATTGCGATGTTCAAGATCCTAGACACACTTAAACACTCATCAAAAAAAAAGAAAACAATAATAATTAAAAACTAACAAAAAGAAAAATATTTATTTTACACACAACAACAATAATTATTTATTTCACCGACAATTTTTTTTCCGATGAAGTAATGCGGATCTTTGTAATTGTATTTCAATTTACAAAATAGAAATGGTCATAGCTTAAATGGTGATAATAAAATTCTAATCATGATGAACACCACACATACTTACACAATCTCATATTCCTTCTTTTGTCTTACAAAAAAAAAAATTTCCTGATTAAATATCAAAAAAACAACAACAAATTGAAGTGCCGTAACAAAATGACACTCAAACGATTCGATGATCTTAAGATTATTTAAAAACGGTTGAAAATTTTTATTTTTTATCATATAATCAATAAAATATAATCCAATCATTTGGTCTTATGTGTGTTTGGTTAAAATGATTATTGTACCTCTTTAACACATTCCAATATTAATAACAAGGACAACGACATCGACCATTATCAATATTTTGCCTGTGTCATTCTTTTTCTCCATGATAATCGAAGAAAATTCGCTTATTTAGTTGAACTAATTTATATATCAACCTCGATCAAGAACTAATCATATCACATTGTGCTGATTGACTTTTCTGATTGAAAATACATCCGAAATAAACTAGATTCCTTAGCAGTTTGGTCCGGTTTTTACTTTCATTTTCTTTTGTGGGTGTTCGTGTATGTATGTTCATTTTTTTCAACAAAAATTAATTTTAAAAAATAATCATTGTTTTGAATATGAAAAATAAATATTGACAACCCTTATCTCCTCTTATCATTATGGTGTAATTGTCTGTTTTTATACTTATCGTTTCCTTCTGCTTTTTGCTTCCATTCATTTTCATAGCAATTGGTCGCAGTCAAAAAGAATTTTTTTTGGTGGATTCTGTTAATCAAGAATTGAATGACAATGGTTCGATCATCGGAAATTATGGCGAATGTTCCAAATGATAGGTAATTTTCAATTATTAATGATTGACAAATTCCTAATTTCAATTTTCATCATAATATTAGATTGAAGTTAATATTCATCATATTTTTCATCAATGGTATTGGAACATTATTACCATGGAACATGTTGATCAATGCTGATAAATATTTTGTCTCATATAAATTGAATGTCACTGATTCAACGCCAGCGGTTGATAATTATCGTAATTCGTTTCTATCCTATCTTGGTATAGCAAGTAAAGCGCCAAATATTTTGTTACAAATAATCAACATGTTCATCGGTGCACAGTAAATATTATCAATGGTGTTGTTTGTTTTTAGAATTTTAGATTTTCAATTTTTCACATTTTATAGTGGAGTTGGAAATCTTGCCCATCGAATCACATATTCATTAGTTGCACAAATCTTGGTGTTCATATTTATCATAGCAATGGCCATTATTGATTCAAGCAGTTGGCCATCGATTTTTTTCTGGTTAACAATGATGTCCGCTGTTGCCATAAACCTAGCCAACGGTATTTATCAAGGTTGTGTATATGGTCTTGCCGCACGTTTTCCAATGAAATATACAAATTCTGTTACGATGGGAATGAATGTCAGTGGTACCATAGCTGCCATATTAATGATCATATCTATAGCATTATCACCTAAAGAAAATGTTGAGGCTTTGATCTTTTTCTCTTGTGCCATCATCATTCTATTCATTTGTCTAATCGGGCAATTTTTTGTAAATAAAAATGTAAGTTAAAAGTTGAAATTATATTTGAATTTCATAATGATTTGATTGTTGTTAGGAATTTTATCGATTTTATGCCATTCCATCAATGATGAATTCAAATCTAAATTTGATAAAAAGTATCAATGCCTGTCCAAGTTGTTTCGAAAAAGGCCATTCAGAAACGAGTAACAACAATTGTCCACATTTAGGTCGAGCATTAGAACGTTCCGTATCGTATAATGGAAAATCATCACATGATAAACAACCTTTAATCGAATCAAAAATGCAACAATATCTACAAGTATTAAGATCCATTTGGATGTTATTAATTAACATTCTTCTCATCTACGTAGTCTCATTATCATTATTTCCAACTGTTCACGCAAGAATCGTTCCAAGAGATAATATCATATCACATGTCTATTTTTCACCTGTTTTTTGTTTCCTATCATTCAATCTATTTGCCACTATGGGTAATCTAATAGCTCAATATATTCAATGGCCTGGACCACGTCATTTAATTATATTCAGTTTAATTCGTTTATTATTCATACCATTCTTTTTATATTGTAATTATTATCCGGGTGATGGATTACATCGTTCATTACCAGTCATTTTTGATCATGACTGGATGTATATTATTGGATCTATTACAATGGCTGTATCATCAGGATATTTTTCTAGTCTTTGTATGATGTATGCACCAAAATGTGTTCCATCACATTTGGCAACAATTTCCGGACAAATGGCAGCATTGACTATTTTGCTTGGAATTCTGATTGGTATCAATATTAGCCTTATTTATCCATATTTAGTTGGTTAATTTCAACCTAATTAAAATTGTCTATTCATTCGTAATTGTTATTTTGTTTGTTATATTTTGAATATTATTAACATATGAACTTTTTTTTTGTTAGTCGATAAAAACAAATTTGCAAATTTAATTTCATAAATATTTATCATTAATAAAAAAAAAATCTTATCATTATCATTATTGATCATATTGTGCATGGACTAATGCCTGTTTAAAAATATCATTCATACTTGTTTGATTTTTTATGGCCAATTGATAAAGTGTGCCATAGTATTGTTGAATTTGGCAAACAAATCTTTGAAAATTTATCCAACAACATTGTTCGCCATTTTTTAATGTTAATCGTACATCTTCCATCTGCGGCAACATTGTTACACGAGCCATTTGTTCAGCTCGTTGTTCATACACTGACAACAAAAATGATTGCTGTCGATGAAGACTATTGATAACTTCATCAACTGTTTCGCTTATTATGTCTGCAACTTTATTGGTGAAATTTTTTGTTTTACCATATGGTGGACGCAATAAAATGAATATGAATCGAATTTCTAAACATTGCAACAAAAATTCATTAATTTCATCCAATAATTGACGATGTAATCTAATAAATTCATCTGATGATTTTACTGGACCCGTTGGAAGAAGAATAGGATCATTTCCAGCTGCAAAATATTTATTGAAATCATTACGATATAAATCTTCATAGTTTTCGACATCTTCTTTGGTCGATAACTTTGGCAAAGAACAAAGAAATTTATCCACACAACTTGCCGTTTTACTCAAGTTTTCAATCGTATAAATTGGCATAAATTCTTTGATGATTTTCAACATTTTATTTGGACAAAATTCAAAGAAAAATTTTTTAGTTCTATCTATGTGATCTTGTTTTAGTAAACGAGGTATTTCCACTACACTTTTTTGATACAAACTTTGTATCTCATTGGCAATAGATTTCATTTGATCGGACGACATTTCTCTTTCCTTTTAAAAAACACTCACACAGCACTGAATTAAAATTTATAAACATTTATAAAACTCTAATTTGATCAACTTTTTTAAAGAAAAGTTCTTTTACGAATTTTTTTCAAAAATAAAAATAAACAAAAATAAAAATCAATAATTTAATTTCATCAATCTATTTTTTGCTCTTTTTATCCACCGAAGCTTTCGAAGTAGTCCGTTTTTGTTTTGTTCCTACTTTTGACTGTGACGAAAATGCGGATGATATAGTTTGTGATCCTCCTGCTGCGGATGCTGCTGAACTTACAGCTTCCGATGCAAAACCACTTTTGATTTCACTAACTTTAGTCTTTTTAGCTGCTTGGCTTGCTACATTTGATGCACGACTATTTGCACCACTTAATTCACTTGTTATATTACTAGATGCACTCACTTCTGAACAAACAGTAGAAGTATTAGCATTTCCGACAGAACTTGGCGGAGCATTACCAGTGGTTGAAGCATTACTTCCAGCAAAGCTGGAAATTTGACCAGACACTTGGCTACTCATTTTACTACCAATCGCCGTATCACTTGCACCAGCGGATGGACCACCGCCCATTGAACTTCCAACATTTGATGAATTTGCAACGGATGATGTTACATCGGAAAATGCTGAGGTTGCTGATGAACTATGAGGACCCGATAAAGATGTTGAGCTACTTTTAGACTGTGGTGTAATCTCCATTTTTTTCACTTCTTCCACTGGAATAATGTTGGGAACCGTTTTTGCAATTTGTGTTCCCGATTTAGCAGCAATATCAGTGGTTTTGACATTGGTATTAACATTGGTATTAACATTGGCAATAACATTGGCTTTAGCATTGGTTTTAGCACTGGTTTTAGCACTGTTTTTTTCGCTTTTTTTATCACTCGCACTTTTTTCGCCTTCTGGTTTATGTTTCTTTATTTTATTGGAACCTTCAATTGTTCGACCACCAACGGGTTCAATATTTTCTAAATTGGAGAAAAAAATTTGCAATTTAAAAAACAAATGATTGCACACTCAACGAATCTTACTTGATGTTGCACAACCCATTTTTTATTCAAAGTTATAATAGAAATAGAAAACAAACAAGCAAATAGAAAAAATCGCGAAATTTAACCAGAAAAAAAATTGGAATTATCCACCAAAAACGAAACGTTCCTACAACTTATAGGACATAGTGTTTGATTGTTGGTAACCATATTTTATTCAATTATAATAATTATTTTGTTGGTTTAATAAAATTGAAAAAATAAAATAAAAAATGCCAAGAATTTAGAATTAGATTGCATCCTATCTATTATTTATTGCGATGGCGGTGTCGACATCATCATCATTGGTGTTGCCGATGTTGATTCAATTGCTGCAGATGTCATCGGAGGAGCTGAAGGTGTAGATAATGTATTCGATGTGGTCGGATTAAACAATGTTATATTCGAGTTCGATATGGGTGGTGGCATCACCAGTGGAGGTGGTGATCCATAATGACCACCAGATGAAGAGGTTAATGGAGGAAGAGAGGGAGGATAAGTGGCACCACCTGGAAATGTTGGTTTATAAGGTTGAAAAGACGTTGTCGATGCAGATGATGAGCTATGTGGTGTCATAACCGACGGTGAAGGCATTGTAAACATTGGTGGCGGTTGGATTTGTCCAGCGGAAGCAAAAGGCATCGATGATGATGAAAAAGTGGACGATGAGTAGCTAGAAACGAATGGAGGTTGAATAAGAGCGGTCGACATCATTGTTGAACTGGGTATTGATGGTGGCGGTGCCGGACTATTAGAACTCAATGATTGTCCGAATTGCTGCGACAGTCCAGTGTTGACAAATGATGATGAGGATGATGATGATGTTGAATAGGGCGGAATAACTGATGAGGATGAAACCGGATTGAAGCTGTTATTATAGGATGGAGCAGGTGTAAAATACGAAGTTGCTGGATTGACCGTATGATGTTGATATAGATTTTTGGACAATAATGGAGCCGCTGTTGAATTAATCGTAGAAGCTGATGTAATCGGTTTATCCATAGTAGTTAAGGATGAAGATGGAATCGTTGAAGCTGGTGTTACTACTGTTGGTCCCAAATGTGGCAGTTGACGTTTTTGTTCATCTTTAACATCCGTTGTGCTTGACGATAATGGCATCGATGACGTGGACACCGGCAGCGGTTCTTGCTTTGATATTTCAGTCAACGGTTTAGTCCAAAGTTGATTCATATCCGATGGCGGTTTGCGTTGTTCGATTTGACCACCCGTATCACCCATAATGGTTGGTTTTGAAGGTACGTTTGAAGCAATGATTGTTGCCCCTGAAGTAACATTTGACAATAAAGAAGAGGATTCTTGATCATCAGATTTTGGCTGTGGAATTCGATGCAAATAACCATAGCCAATGTCACAGCCAAGAAGACCCGAACCTCCCCAATTACTTAATTTTTTTTTAAATGATAAATGATTTCAAAAAATCCATTTTTTGTGTTTTAAAATACTTACGAATTAGGCACAATGGTAACCTCACGACAAGAATCTGTATCAACATTATATACAAACAATTTCAATGGTTTACCTTCATATGTTTGTATCAAATTAAATATATCATCATTCTATTTGAATTAAAAAAAAATTTAAAAATTGAAAATAAAACACAAAAAATTAAATAATTACATCCTGTAGTAATGAATCAGCACCAATAATATAATCTCGATGAGATTTCAATCCGGCAATATCAGCCGGTGAATTAGGAGCAACATCCAACACATGCCATACATTTTCATTAGCATTTTCAAATGATGCGAAACGTATGCTTACACCCAATAATCCTTGTCCATTCCAATTATTAGTAGGAACAATATCAACCTGACGTACATTCTGATATTTTGAATTATATACTAACAAACGAAGTGATTTATCCACATGTGATTTCAATATATCTTTCAAATCATCATTCATTTGATTCTAAATAAAATGATTTTAAACCAAAACAATATTCAATTTATAAACTAGCCATAATTCATTCAAAACTTACTAGTCGAGTATTGCCGGCTACAATAATATAATCGAAATATGGTTCTAAACCAGCTTTGGAACCAGGGGAATCATCTTGTACCTATTTGGCACAAATCAAAATGTTAATTTAAAAAAAACAATCAAAACGAAAAAATTTTTTACCTTTAAAACATGATAACCTTCAGTACCACCACCGGGAATTTCAGTAGATTGGGATCCGCCCATAACTATATTTATTGATTAACAAATAAAATCTCGAATTCGAACAGTTAGTCAGAGAATTTAAAAAATAAAAACAAATTAATGAATATTGTCGGCAAAAATTAATAAAAAATTCGACAACACACGATTAAAGTTTACACGTCAGGCTTTTAAAACAAGCTAACCATACTCATAGATGACATAACGGAGGGAAAGTCTGCGGCGAGCAATCAGTGAAAATATTTGTTAATCAATTATCGGCATTAATTGTATCAGTGATGTTCAACTTTTGCTTGCTAATTCAAGCCATCACAGTTGAATGAGGTTAGGTTCATAAACATATTTCACTCAAGTCACATCAAAGCAATTACAACTGGATGAAGTTAGGTTAGGTTAGTAATAATTTCGAACTTTTTGGCTCGCTATCACTGAGAAAAAAAAAGTTTGGAATCCACTTAGATCTGAATAGATTCGGGGGAGCTGTAGTAGCAGCAATAAAATTAAGCTAAGTGGTATGTTGTACGACTATCAAATGAATATCCACGAATCATTCCCATTCTTAATATCTAAATATTCCAAGTTTTACTCATTTGATTTCATCATCTAGAAGTGACTAATAAATTCATAAATTTGATTTCGAGAAAATTCCGATTCTTCAAATTCATTATCATCATTGAAAGGAAAGAGGTGATAGTTATAGGTGTTTGTCAATCATTATCATCAAAAAAAAACACGCCGTCGAATTGAACAAAAAAAAATTATTCCAATTTAGAATTTCATGTTTGATCCCTGTATGTGTGTTTGTTCTCGATTCACATAATTGGTTGACATTTCATTTCAGTTTTCATTCTTTGCCAGTATAACTTCATCATTTGTTTCATTTATTTTTAGAAAATTTCAAACAAACAAAAAAAAATCCCTCAACATCGACAAGAGCGGCATCATCATCAATGTTTGATTCGTTTGTTGCTATAGTTGTTGTAGATGGTGATATTTGAGTTTTAGTAGTTTTTTTTTGATCTGCATCAAAATATCAATATCATCAACATCATATCGTTCAAAGACATTTTTTTCATTTCATTTATTTGTATCGAACACAACTTCGTTTTAAAAAGTGGATTTTTTTTCATTTTGCTTTTGTTTTTGTTTTTTTCTGTCTTCTTGCTTTATCAATTTGGAAAAAATTTATGTAAGATCTTTTGTGTATTTGTGTTTGTGTTTTCGTTTTGATAGTTAGGCAAGCTTATAACAGAGAATTTTATCCATACGACGCATTTTTTTAAAACAAAGATTTTGTCTGCTTTGAAACCTACATTCATCCGTGTTGTGAGTGAAAATAAATTATATTCTTGATGTGTGCAAATTGACAACAACATTTATGATTCATTAATATCCATTTATGATGAAAATCATATAAAATGGATGAAACAAAAGAACGTCTAAAACAATTAATTGATTTTTTTACCGGTCATTATTTGACATGTTTAAATCAACAAAAAGCCGAAAATGATAGTGTCAATAATGACCAACGACAACAACACTCAACATTTGATTCCGATCAAATAAAAGCATTTATTGATGATATATCGTCAACGAATATTGTCCAAACTGATGTTGAGCAATCATCACAGCCACAATCATGGACAACATTCTTGGAAAATGCATCTTCATCAACAACTTCTTCCGGTGGTATAGGTGTCAAAGGTTTAAATACCGGTGCCATACAACAAACAAATCCGCCCATATCTCGTCAAGATATGGAATCATTAATTAAAACAATGGAATTGTGGTAAGTTGATTGAGATATTATTTTCTTTCTTTTTTGGATTACATTTATTTGATTGCATCATTTTGATATCATTACCCAGCAAAAAAAACATGACTCATTTTGCAACAAGTGAACGCCTATATCTAATGCCTTTGATGACCTTATGCGGACATGTACTTCTTACCGAAACTCATCTTAGTAAGTTCAGGACAATTTTCAGGAAATCTAAGTAATGACCCTTAACCTTTTCATTTTTTTTTCTATCTTTGTCCTTTATTCCCATATTGTGAAAAAAGTTTCACGTACCTATTTATCGATAGTATCAGAAATATTGGTCTACATCTTGCAATTTTCATTGAATGAAATTTCTCTCTATAACGACGATGAAAATAATTATATTGAATTCAATGTACAATATCTACAGCAAATCAGAAATATTGAGAAATTGAATGCTGACACCGATGAGTATTATCGTTATTTTCTCAAATATCGTTTGATTCGATTTTTGAACTTTATGTTATTGGATGATAATCATCTTGAAAAGGCATCAAAAAATAATGTTCTAACTCAACATGATCTAATATCATTGTGTCGAATGTTACGTATGAAATCGATGCCTGATACATTGCGACTACATTCATCTGTTATGAATGTGGATTCGGAAACCTCATCGCCTTCAACCACTGATATTATTCAATCATCATCTGTCAAACGCATACGATTGACACAAAGCCTGTTAGAAAGAAATTCTAAGGAAGAATTTTTCGATCAACTATTGACACCGTTTATTTTTTCAAACACTGCTGCGAATCAATCGATCGATGCGGCCAACATTTCTTCATCAATTTCATTGAACCAACAAACACCCGTGCAAAAAGCATCGATTACAACTTCTGCTGCTACTGCTGCTGCTACAATTATTACGCCAACATTATTATCATCAGCTGCTACTAATGAATCATTTTCAAAACAATCAAATTTAAATTCTGTTTTTTCAACCACAAAACATCAATCCGTACAACAGATACGTTCTTATCTGATTAGCCATAATCAAATGTATTTTCAATATATTGGTGGTTCAACTTCAATATTAAATCTGATCAATAATTATACATTGTTACGTCCGTATCTATTACATTTATTGGCCATTGAAGAGGGTGCTAATCTTCGTCTACATCGTTTGGATGGTGCACATTTTGATCTGATCTGTGATTGTTTAGTTGCCGATATTGAACTAGTTGATAATATATTCATGTTGGATCATCTTCTGGAACCGTTAAGCTGTGATCGTATATCGAAAATGATAGTACTTGTTCAAGCTGCTTTAATGGCTTGTCTTTCATTAATTTCCTATGCGAATCAAATTGATCAATCGCAATTATTATCAGTAGCTACTATTTCTTTGGCTGATCCTTCCGAATTAACTCGATCTGAACGCTTGACATTTGATATCATCGAGAAAAGTTTATCATTATACGATAAAGTTTTTGATATTTTTCGCCATTCAAATCGTGTAGCCGGACAAATTAGCCAGAATGCTCATATGTTCACCGCTTGGCTACTCTTTACCGGTTTACAAATGATTTTGAATACAAAACCTACTGCATCGAATAAACGTCAACAAGGTTATAGTTTCCTTTGCATACCGTTGGCTAAGCATGCATTAAAATTGATGTCACTTTTATTGAATGATCTTCATCTTGAATTTGGCGATCAAACTAACAATATGCTTGAAGAACAATTGGATGATGTTGATGATTCCAGTGGTCATAAAAATATTCATGAGCTTAATTTTTTCAAAAAATTCTCCTTCAATGTTCAACCATGTCCATCAACTATGGGTAGTGTCACTACAACACCTGCGACAACACCGGCCGAATTGAGTCCAAGTTCATCTCGTACATCGATACCAACATCGAATTCCATGACCACCACATCATCGGGAAATATTCGTACGATGAATGCTATATTCAAATATAACAAATTTGGTCATTATTCTGCCTGGCAAAGAATTGATATGATTGTATCAAGTAATTTGAATCTCATTCATTTGCTATTCAGCTATTTATCTGCCGGTTATCGTCGTGCAACATTATTACGTCATTCACTTGGTAAATTGACACTCGAATCGAATGCTAGTTCAAGAAATGAACAAGATGTACAAGAGGATGAATTCACATCGATTGTAAGAAAATTCATTGAACAGCACCAACAAAATAATCGTTCAACCAATAGCAAAGATGACGATGAAGTTTTTGAAGATGATGTACATATGCAACATTCATTTTTTGAAACATTTAACGAACAATTCAATGTTAGCAGTGAAAATAAAGTACAAATATCAAAACAAACATCGGATTTGAAGACAATGCTTGAACGTGATATCGATAGTCATTATGAACTAGTCATATCGATTTTGGGTCATCTTAACTATTATTTTATATGCTCGACGATTGATGCACTAAGATCTTATTTTAAACAGATGCTTACCGATGCTCAATTGATTGTATTAGCCCATGTTATTCAAGATTTAGATTCTGAAATGGATAATGTTCAAACACTATCGCCTTTGTCATCACGAACATTTTATCGATTTTCCACTTCATTAACATCATTGATGCATAATTTAGTCGCCGTACAGATACTTTCTGATGAACAACAAAATTCTTTGCTTGCCTATCTTGGTTTTAAACCAAGTCTCGAATCGGATTGTTCATGGCCATTACATCATGGTGTACGCAGTTTGGCTATTTTGGCACAAATCATATTGTTACGACAGCATAAAGAACAAGAAGATATAAAATGTGATTTTAATTCCACAACCATTCAAATATGGCGAGGTTTTATCAACAAACTTAAACAATCAGCTCTTTCCTTCAAAGGCGAAGTAGCATTTTTCAATCGCGAATGTCCTGATTTCCAAGAAGATTTAAATGTTGAACATGCTCAACTGATGTTGTTTTTGTTTCACAATCTTAAATTGCTTCAACGAAAACATGTATTTTCATTGGTTGGATTAGCACTGAATGAAATATCGATTAAATTATCTGCTAATAAATGTTCAATATCTGCTGCACAGATTCTATACATTGGCCGTATTTTACATCTATTTGAATATATGTGTAAAAATCTATACGATACACCGGCCTATCTTTTTGAACAGATTAGTCACAACTTATTAAATGTCAACCTCAATAATGATCAAACAGGTTCGATTCGTATGCCACCAAAATCAAAAGAAGATTTTATCAAAGTTAAATTGGAAAAATTACAAAAATGTCCAGATTCATTTAGAAACATAAAATTTTTTGCTGATAAAAAATTGGATCTAAATTATTTCAGCCATTTGATTTCAGATTATCGAAATCCGTCTTTATCCTCGTTAAAGACAACGGTGGATAATCTAAACAATTTGAATGTATTCGATTTCATCATACATCCTCGATTCTATCACCTAATGGATGTTACCATAACGACACCGAAATGTTCATCACTGCGAAATTTCAAACCAAAACTTGATGGTATTGCCTGTAATTTTATGCTTGCTGGATTTCAATCACTTTCTTATGACCAATTTTACAATTCTTTATTAAATCTGTGGCGATTTCTTGGATATCAATATGATTTTGATTCACGTCAAAGCCATCAGAGTGATCATCAAAATGAAGATGGAAATCCGATGGTGTTACGTTATCCGCAATTTGGCTTGTTTGGTCTTTGTGCTATGGATTATACATTCGGCACTTTGTGGCGTCTAATGAATCAGTTGCCACCAAGTTTACAATATCTCAGTGATATTGAATCGATGGTTGATTCATCAGTTGAAGATGAATTGAATTCTTTTGTTTCTATTGATGCTGCTCGTATATTGAACATGTGTATATGGTTACCACGTTTCGAAAATAATCGACCTATTTGTCAATGGGTTTCCGAACTACTTGGTAAACAAGGTGATACTAATTCGAATGATATCGAGATGATAATCAAAGATATGGTACGAAAATTCAATTCTTTAAAGTTCAACTATCAACTATTAAAGTGTATCAATTGGTCATTTTTTCGTTATACACAATCCACTTCGAATGATCCTACATTTTTCAAAAATATTTTACTTACGCAACAATCACAGCTCTTGCCTCTTCAATCGTATCAGTTTCCGAAATTTTTTACTTTATTCACTATGGATATTTATCTGGAACGATTAATATTTTTGTTTCATGAGGAATTTAAACGATCATCAAAAAATCGAAACGAAGATGATTCACAAATGTTAATGGACAAATATCTATCCTTGATGCTTGGTCTATTTGATAAGATACATCAAGAGATTAATGCCGTCCTACTATATGATGGGCCATTATCACAAGCTGGCCGTAATAATTCAGCTGACATGCAATATCTGTTTTATCGTTCGATGGTGAATATCTGCTCATCAAATTCATTTGATTCTCATTTATCGGAAATTGCCTCAAATATTATCGATTATCTGCCACAGTCAATCGTATCGAAAATCGATCAATGGGATCGTATTCATGTTAATAGTGATTGTAATATTACTGATCAAGAATTACCAGCATTGTTACAAAAAGGCGTTCTTTTTGAAATTCCTTTGATCGAATTGGCGAGCCGTTCAACAACCTCTTCGTCTTCACAATCAAAAACCAAAGCAAATCATCTTTATCAATTGTCAGCATTTATTAATGAAAAATGTGCTATCGATATGCCTACAGTAACATCGGTAGATACGGGTGATGGAAATATCACATGGATTAAACTAAAACAATTTATGTTTAGATTATTTAAATTCACGGAATATATCTATTCACAAAAAGATTGTCCACAACAAAGTGATCCATTTGTTACATGTTTAATGCTACAATCGAATCTTGTATCCAATTCATTGGTATCTAAATCATCATCGATTAATCATCAAACATCGGTGACATATCAAATCTTACACAAATTATTTGCCAATCATGATCAAACAAAAATAGATATTGATCCAGATTCATACAGTTTTATACTTTATCCATATTTTATTGGCAACGCATTTTTTATTCTATCCGTTTTCAATCACCCATTATTCATCGAATTGAAAAAAATGGATCAATTAAAATTTGTCAAAATATTTCAATCTGGTTCACCAATATTTTTCCGGTTTTTCGGAAAAATTCTCAAGCATTCATCATCTGGAGTAGCAGCATTTGAAGAATTTCTTGGTAATAGTTCACCGAAAACGCCTACTGGTCTTATACAACAGCAGCAACCATTGTTTTCAGAAATGAATTATAGCCTATTAGATTTGATCAAAGTTACTGAACATCCATTGATCACATCTAATTATGCTGTGGACATAATGAAATTGATCAAAACATTGTATTCACAAACGGAAAAATCTGCCGAAGATATTGGTTTAATTCGTCTCTGTGTCAGATTATCAGATGAATTACTCGATTATCCAAATCGTATTCAATTGTTGACCCATTGGTTTCGTCTAGTTTTGTTCAAACGTATTAATGATGATGATGATGAAAATGATGGTGGTGGTGAACGATGTGAAAAAACCAAATCAAATAATCAATCATATTATATTGATGATTCATGTAATGCCAATCTTTATCTATTTTTTAAATTCATTTGTAACATTATCAAAGGCCCTGGTCGAATGGATGAAGCGGTACTCGTATCTGTAGCCGAGGCTACTATTCAAATTGTTCAATCATTGTTGAATGATACGTGCATCACTTATTCGAATAATACGTTCCTATATTTTTCGGGTCTTTTCACCAGTCTTGTTTATTTAATTTCATCCACTGGTAATTTCGATCACGAATACATACCGGGCAAACCGATATATGGACATTTTCGATTAATTAATGAAGTAATGAAATGGCTTCAAATGATAAAAGATCATCTTTGTAATCGAGAAATGTTGAACAAAATTGAATCATCATCGATTGGCAATGGAAAACAACGATTTTTACTTGAATCCAGTTATCAGATGCTTGCCTATATATCTGATATATTCAATGCATTGGAATATAGATATGTTGTTCTTAAAAATCGTAAAGATGGTAGTTGTGGTGAAGAGGATATTAAACAGAAAAAAGAAGATGGTAAAATAAAATCTTCATCAATTTCAAATCGATTGTTTATAGATGATGAATTTGATGTTGATATTGAACATTCTGCCATAATCGATACCGATGATGAAATGGATCTTGATTATGAAGATGAAGAAGATTTAGCTGGACAATTATGTACATTTACACAGACAGCTAAAGATTTCATCAATCAACATTGGTATCATTGTCATACCTGTAAAATGTTGGATGGTGTTGGTGTTTGTACAGTATGCGCAAAAGTTTGTCATCGAAATCATGATATAACCTATTCAAAATATGGATCATTTTTCTGTGATTGTGGTGCGAAAGAAGATGGTTCATGTAAAGCATTAATAAAACGTCAACTAAATACGAATGATCAGGATAAAAAAATTTTGAAAAAACGTAATCCACAACAACATCATCAAACGGTAGCATCAACTTGCAGTAAATCTGGTCATCAATTAGATAGTAAAAAAACTACATTCACCGATAAAAAACGCGCCTTACGTATCTCGAAATATTGGTATACATCAATATATTCGCTTGAAGCACATCAATCAAAATTATCGGATAATTATAAAATGTTACGTAATAAATTCTCAGCCAATCCAATGATTGTACAAAATTATGAACGTTTTGGTTTGAAATATGAAAATCTTGACAATTATAGTTCATTGTTTATGTCATATATCGTACCGTTATCGGATACTGTCATTTCTCTTGTCGAATTTTTCGTACCAATTTTGCAGAATTTTTTCGATATATACTCAGAATTGGGCTTTTTAAAGAATATTCAAAAATCATTTGATGCTCTTCATAGTTCAACAAACTCATTGCATCTGGAAAAATGTGAACAATTAATGGTTGTTCAAAAATCTTGGCAAGATTCAGTTATTGAAAATGTTCAAATGACAAATGATCAATCACATTCGACTAGACATTCATCCATCTCAACCGGTTCAGTTGTACATTATCAATCAATGTTGGTTATCGGCGCTAATGCTTATAACAATTATTTCTCGAATCTATCTCAACAACAGTTACCTTCAACTTATCCATGTTTGTTGGCCGTTGCACATGATAAAAATCGTTTATCAATTATACAACTGAATCAATTACTTGGTCAAGTTTATTCAAATTCACGGAAAAAATTGAATCTACAAAAAATTGCAGCCATATCGTTTCCTTTCACAATAACGACAATATCGAATAATCCATTGAATGATGAATTGATAGCTATAGCCGGTCTCAAAGAATGTCATATTCTTACCCTAGCTGCAAATGGAGCAATTACCGGACATTATCCATTGTCAATGTCATTTGATAATAATAATCATATAATCAAAACATTTTGGTTTCCTGATCGTCATACAGAGTTGGCTGTTGTAACATTGGATTTTATCAAAATTTATGATTTATCGATGGAAAATCGTGATCAGCCTATTTATAATTTTGTAATCACTCAACGAAAAATTCGTGATATCACTTTTTTCTCATGTAAAGATCGTAATGGTGAAACCAAACGTTTTATACTAATATTTTCGAGTCGTGGCCATATTTATGCTGAAGAATTGAATGCAGAAAGAAAATGTTCATCATCAAATGATGTATTTTATGTTACATCAACACTTAACGTTTCATATCCAAAACATTGGAATTCAAATAATCCACCAACAGTAGTCGGATTTTCCATTTATTATTCACATTTATTACAAATGTTATTTGTTAGTTTTATTACCGGTTGCTCATTCTGTGCACCATTTGGCATAAAAAACATCTATGATCAGAGCATTACAAATGTTACATCATTGGATTTACAATCATCGAAACAAGATTCATTGTCAACCATGCAACCAGATCAATCATCTTCATCATTAACTTCTCCACCAATTCAATCACAGCAGCAACCATTGTTTCAGTGGACTGAAGTTTTACAACATCCTGGTCTCATTTTCGCATTAACCCATACGAATAGTCCTGTTTGTTTCATGATTGAATCGAATCGTATAAAAATTCAAGAATTGAAACCAAAGAAAAAAATTATTGATTTTGTCGCGATTTCTACTCAATTCAATGATCAATATCAATCAAAAATTACGACATTATTATCATTATGTGATGATGGTTCTTTACGATTTTATCGTTCTGTACAAGAACAAACTAATTTCTGGCTTAAACCGGAAATTTATAATCTTGATGAAATACCCAGCTTTCAATCATCGATCATTACAAAAAGTAGTGGGTCAAAATCATCCTCACGTGCCGGTTCGAATGAACCTCAACAAACATCTACAGCAACGACATCGAATAAATCAAATCCTCATTTTGCTGTAGATTTTTTCGAAAGATGTACATTGATGAATGATATTGAATTTGGTGGATCCGATGTATTGGAAGTGTATAATGTTCAACAAATAAAAAATCGCCTAAATTCAACCAATATGTACATTGCTTGTACAAAGCCGAATGGTTTCAGTATAACAGTTACACAAACCGGTTCGTTTGATTTGGTAATGGCTGGTGTACGAGTTAATCTTGGTGTATGTGATCCAGCACGTGCGCCTACAGCTATTGAAGTATTTGGTCGCACCGTTTGGGTAGCTGTCAATCGTCATCGATGGTTCGATATACCGTTTACACGATCTGAAATGAAAAAATTGATCGAAACAAATACTCTCAGCATACGATTTGCTCCTAGTGGTGATCCAAATCAGGTAACTATTGTTGATTCAATTCGTGTTTATGGTCGTCTTCGTGATCTTGTTGGACTACCATCTGTGAATGAAGAAGAAACTACAGCGGCACTTGCCAATATTAATAGAACTGGTACTGCATCATTCGATGATTTACGACGTAAATTAATACAGTCAACAATGCAACCACCATCATCTATGTCGATAAAATCACCGATTCAAAAGTTACGTTTGCTTCTATATGCTCCAAGTATCACAGATGATGAATTGATAGTCGCAATGAAATCAATGAATCATTCTATCATTGTTTTAAATCGTTTAGTTGCGACTTCATTAGATGTATTGGATTCATTAATATCGTTCACGAAATCAACATCAGAAATGAACGTTGATCAACAACCGCGATCATCATCGACAATAATTTGGATAATGGCTGCACGTGAACTAAGTAATGGACAAGAATTTAAGCAAAAATGTGAAACCGCATTATCTATCGCTTCGAAACTATTGACCATATCTTTGAGTAATCGTCTGGATAAATCAATTTGTATGGTATTGACAAAATTATTCCCATCACGTGCTCAATATGATGAACATCGTGGTGATATTCTTTTCGAAAATGGCATCGAAAATCTTAATCATATAGATGATATTGATGTATTTCGTTATTATTTATTGTGGTTCCGTGAAAATGTACATGAATATCCTAAAAATTTTATCCGTTTCATACTAAAATATTTTAGTAAAAATTCCAATGATCCACATACTTCGACTGTACAGTTTTGTTGCTATCTTGTTGATTTATTTCATCGTCTTTATTTACGCCGTCCATCAAATGATTTGATTAGTCCATTGAATATGGTCGGCCATTACCATGGTTTGGAACAATTAATCGATTCATTGGTATTTATTTTACATTCATCAACATATGCCATCATATCAATAACCGGCTCTTTTGATCAACAAAATGATAATCAACAGAAAGTGATAAATAAATGTTCTCAATTAGTCGTACAAATGCTTTGTTCTCTGGATCCGCGAATTTCTTTTGCAACGAAAAAAACCTTGCTAAGAATTTTATATTCAATTTCAAGCGGTGTTTATCGTCATCATATGGAAAGGCAATCATCGAATAATCGTGCTTTAACATCATCAGCATCAAAACAATCAAATTCATCATCGTCTTTCAATGGTAAATCGGAAAGTCATCGTGAACGACGGCATTCCGCTCGACATTCTGCTGATCATCGTAATCAAACTACAGCTAATGTATCTATTAATCATCAAGAACCATCAACATCATCAGGGTCATCAGGTGGAAGCTTATTACATCGACAAGGTGCGACAAGACGTTCACGATCCTCTGGACTTAGTTCTAGTTGGTGGACTACAACCAATCGACCAGATACATCATCAAATACAAATGGTGGTGGTAGTGGACGTAGTGGTCAAGGATCAGGATCTCTATTTGGATCATTGTCAAACCAAAGACATAGTACAGCATCTGCAAGCCTTTTGGAACGTGTTAGCGAATCAATATTAGATACGAATTTTGATCCATATCAAAATCTTTTACTTAACATCGATAGTGAATTTCCATATTTCCAAGATCTTATGGCCAATCTTCGTCGTGAACATCAGGAACAAAGTGAACAAGAAATATTTGAATCAATCACAGGTGAAGATGATGATGACGATGATGACGAAGACGAAGATGATGATGACGACGATGATGATGATGACGATGATGATGTAGATGTAGATGAAGATGATGAAGAATTAGATTTAGGATCGATTTCACGCATGCCAGAAATTTCCGATAACAATGGTGCTCTATCCGGCGGTAGCTCATCTGCTCCCCCTCCATTGTTTCCAATAAATTCTGGTTCAAATGGTGCTAATGTACAACAACATCAACAATCCATACCGTTAGAAGAAGTGTTAGAGGTTGAAAATGTACCCGTTGATGATGATGATCACGATGATGATGACGAAGATGACGATGATGATGAAGAAGATGAATTTGAAGCCATGGATGAAGATGAAATGATGGAAATAGCTATTGCATTGAGTTTGGAAGAACAACAACGAGGAGCAAGCGGTGGTGTTGAATCAGGATCAATTGAAATCGATAATGAAAGGCAACAGCCAAATCGTACCTTAGAGGAAATAGTTGCTGATTACCAACGGCAGCGTATACAGCGACAACGGCAACGAAATCAGCAGCAACAAGGTTCATCAAGTAATATTTTGCCGGATGAAGATGAAGACGATATTGTAAGGCAACAGCAATCAAGTCAGGAACATCATCAATCATTACAACAATCTGACCCAGGTCAAGCTTGTTCACATTATTCTGTTCATTCAGAATCAGATGATGATGATGAAGAATTATTTGATGATGAAATTAAATTGGCAGATACAACTATGGAATCAATTGAAGTAGAAGAAGAACATGAATTTGATGATGATGATGATGAATTGATTTCAATGGACGCATCAACTCAATCATTGAAATGTACGAAACAGATTTCGAAATCCAATGAAGCAATCGCAAATAAACGTTGTAGCAGTGGACAACCTGTATCTTCTTCTGGAACAGGTGCTAGTTCTTCTACTCTGCTAGTAGCTGGTCAATCTCATAAACAATCATCAAACACAAGTGATGGTCAACAAACAAAATCCAAAGAAAAAGATTCAAAAACACAGCAAAAAGAAATTCTAAAGAATAGAAAACGACTTCGTCGAATGGTAGCCAGTAAATTTTGTTTAGCTTTATTGAAACAAATGAATCAATCATTCGATGATGTAATCAAGTTGAATGGCATGCAGGCAATTCCGTTTCTACAAGTTCTAACTATACTTACCGATTTTAATTATACCGAATCTGATCAGAAAGAATTTGCTTCCATTTTCAATGAAATCATTAAAAAATTATTATGTCATTTGTTGAATAAATTGTCAAGTGAAGCAACAGCAAATGTCCTGGAATCGGCTCCACCAACTAGTGATACGACAACAAGTCCGACACATAGTAAATCACGTGTCCATAATAAATCTATTTCACTATACAAAGATCGTATTGAACATAAAGCAGAAAATGAAATCCATCTATTGACAATGCGATTATTCAATATATTTTTATCATATTTCAAACGTTTCCCAACGATTACGTGGCAAGCATTTTTATCGAAAGATCTACCGATCAATGAAAATTTCCGTAAATTGATCTCGCCATCACAAACTGGACAAATAAAATCTTCAACTGTAACATTCAATGAAGATAGTATTAAAGCTTCGAGTTTGACAACGGCTATACATCAAAGCCTTTTGTTAGCTGCTGCACAATTGATACAATCCAATACCAATGTGTTAGACTACTGTTATACAATGTTGCATCTCCTATTGAAACATTATTGGCGACAAATGGCAATTCAATCCGAAACAAATGAAAACGATTCAACAGATAATAAAGCAACAATAAAATCACAAGGATATGATCGATCTACGATTGAATATAATTCGAAGAAAAGTATCTGCATACCTGATAATCGAGTATTGAATTCAATGTTTATACCTACAGATTTAAGGCCATTTTTTACCATATTGCCTGAAGTTTCTGAACCATCATCCCCAGCACCAGTGGCTGCATCAAATCAGCAATTAAATTCACAACAAGCTCAAGATACATCCGGCATTGTTGTTGTGAATAATGTTACCAATTCTAGTATCAATCTAGCAAATACTTGTACGGCAATCAATTCATTTGTATTTGCAAACAATGCATTTGTTCATTATCCGGAATTATTAACGGAAATGTCGTTACGAATGCCTTATCAATTGAAAAAATTGATTGTATTCTTGAACGCTCAACAACAGCAATCATCGACCAAAAGCGATGATAACAAAAATAAAGATCCAAGTATGGATGCAGAATCATCACCATCATTACAGTCATTGAAACCGATTGTTTCAATCGATTTTAATGTACAATGGATTGAAACATTATGTGAATATATGATGTTACCGACTGTAACACCTTATATTCGAAAACAAGTTCGAAAACTTTTATCAAATTTATGTGGTTCAAAAGAACGTTACCGTCAAGTACGTGATTATTATGCCATCAAAACAAATTTGCGTTCGGTTCGACGTATTATTGTCATGCATTTTTTCGATCATTCCTCATCATCAAATAGTTCGAATCCAATGAAAATTAAATTACAAGATTTAGGTATAACTGAAGAAGATCTTGATGATGAAGAACAATTAGATGAATTGATTCGTATAATCATCACAACAGTTATACAAAATAGTGAAGATAAAGCTAATGTAATGATGTCATCAGATCAACATCGTCTTTTGAATCTTCCATATTCTCAATTAATCAATCTTGTCGAATATCTGAAAGCTTGTCTGGATATTGCCTCTGCACGTGTGCATAATTGGCAACGACTTTGTCGTCATGAAATTCGTATCATACCATTCTTGTTTCGAATTTCATTCCTATTCGGTGAAGGAATCTCTTCAATCATCTTGCAATTATTAAGCCTAGCATTATTTTCGTCATCTGATAATAAAAATCGAAAACCGGAAGAGAAAAATCTAACCAACAATCTAATTTCCAATGGTAATTATTTATTCAATTCTTTTGTTCACACAGATTTTCTAATGAATTTTACAGATGATAAAACAGGTGAAACTATCAAAGATGCAGGAAAGCCATCCACATCACACGGCAATCATCAATCATTCATTTGTTGCTATGTATTTGTCGTATTGGATCGTCATCTATTTTCTCATTTTATTCGTTTCTTTTTACTGGAATCAAATTCATCACAACAGCGTTGGGCTACTCATTCATTACTTTATATGTTCTATGAATCTTTGCAACCCGTTCAACAAGAGCAATTTCTTTCTTTATTCTGGCAATTATGGCCAAGTATTGCCTGTTATGGAAAACGTGCTTCACAATTCGTCGATTTATTGGGCTATTTTACTTTGTCTATATCAAAACTACAACATTCTGATCAGAATTCGGCTCGTTTACAAGTAAACACAGAACGTTCATATGCTGATTCTGCCATCGGTTTGCTTCGTTATCAGAATCAAGTTCTAGCTCGACATCCAAATTCCAATATTTATAATTCTTTACAATCATTATTGGATTTAAATGGTTACTATCTGGAAACGGAACCTTGTCTCATTTGTAATAATCCTGAAGTAGATTTTGTAGCCGTTAAACTTTCTGCAATGAAATTAGATTCAAGATTTACGATTAATACACAGATTGTGAAATTGAATGGTGCGCATACTATATCGAAAATTACTGTGAAAATTTCCGAATTGAAAAAATCAAAAATGGTTAAAACATTATGCATCTATTATAATAACCGTTGTGTACAATCGGTGGTAGAATTGAAGAATAAGAATACTGTCTGGTTTAAAGCTAAACAAATAACTTTAGCCCCATCTCAATCCGAAGTTAAAATTGAATTTACACTGCCTATCGTCGCTTGTAACTTGATGATTGAATATAGTGATTTCTATGAACAATCACATCTCTCTACTGAAACATTACAATGTCCACGTTGTTCATCGGTTGTATTGGCCAATCCGGGTGTTTGTACGAATTGTGGTGAGAATGTATTTCAATGTCATAAATGTCGTGCCATCAATTATGATGAAAAAGATCCTTTTCTTTGCAATTCTTGTGGTTTTTGTAAATATGCCAAGTTTGATTATGTGCTCACTGCAAGATTTACGGCATCCGCTGTCGAATCTATCGAGAATGAAGAAGATCGAGCAAAAGCTGTACAGACCATTAATGCGTTGTTGGATAAAGCTGATCGATTATATAAGATTATCCTATCAATACGGCCAACATTGGAGAATCTACTATTATTCTCACAAGATTATCATAGTACATTATATGGTAGTGATGGAAGCGGTATGGATGGAACTAATTATGGTGGCGGTACAAATGTGGTTGCATCTTCATTACAAACATCCTCATCAATTAATAGTTCATCTTCTTCATCAGTATTGGTCAATCGATATATTCATCAATTAGCATCACGTTATAGTAATGATTGTCGTGTACATTTTGAAGAACTGTCGAAAATCGTGCAAAAAATTCTATACACACGAAAAGAATTGGTGGATTATGATAACCGACAAAATGATAATCGCCATAATTTGGATGATATTAAACGTCTTTTACAGGAGCATCGTCAGCAACAAAACGATATGATCACCAGAACATTTGGCGGTTCAACCACATCATTATCGTCAACATCATCATCCACATTGGTTGATATTTCTATTGCTGCGACATCAACATCAGCTTTATATAAGAAACAACTTGGTAAACAAGAAATGACAATAGATGAATATTATCGAGGTGTTGAAACTAAAAAGAAACGATTATCGAATGAAGATGAAGGAACTTTGATGATGAATTTCAAATCTGGTCGTTGTTATGGATGTGCAAGTGCTACGATTGAACATTGTATTATCTTACTTAAAGCTCTCGTGCATAATCCACGTTATAAAACAATTTTTAGTTCATCAAATTTATTCCGTGAATTAATTGATTATAATCTTCGTATTGGCACACCATCTTTTCGAGCAAAAGTTCGTGCATTGTTGTGCCTTTTGATAAAAGATGATTTGGAAATCACTGAAGAATTTAATAATTTATTGCTCGAAAAAATTGGTTCCGTATTGCAGACTCGATTTATGACTACATTTGATTTCGGTTCTATCCGACACGAAATGTCATTGTTGGCTACATCATTTGAAAATGAAGACAATTGTTGGGAACAACGATTACGATGTGTAATGAAATTGTTTCTATTGTCATTGCAGAACAAATCACCAGCTGTACTTGAAGCAATTACATTGCCTTGTCTTCGTATCTTATACGGTTTGATTGTTAAACCAGCATTGAATGATCCGAAAAAATCTGATCAATCAAAAACAATACAATCATCTGCTAATATAGTCGAACAATTAGCATCCGTACAATCAACAAATTTATCTTCATCTAAAAATTCGATACCAACACGAATTCCGTTCGAATCATTAAATGTCAAAGTCTCAGTGGATCTTTATCATTGGATCTCATCTGATTCACAAACAGCTTCATTTCCAGCATGGCAACAACGAAATATGAAAATTCCGTCACGTTCATCTGAAACGGTCATTGATTCAGTGGTGATAACTGAATATAACGATTATCTACAGAAAAAATATTTTGCTCGCTGGTTATATCTACATCAAACTGGACAGATTCGAAATTTAAAATCTGAATGCTTTATTATACGAATTGCAAGTTCAACATGGATTCAAGAAGTTTTATTCAATCCTACATCAAAAGCATTACGAATAGCATGCCGACAATTATTGATGGCCCTGTTTGAACGTCTGACAAGTAAACAACGTATATTGATCGATTTATTTACATCTTTTTTGGATGATCTTTGTCATGTTGGTGGTGAAATCGGTCTGGAATTTTATGATCTATATCGATCTATCGTGTTCAGTGAATTTAGTGCCAAGACAATTAACATTGCAAAAAATAACCATTGGCGATATTATTTGACGTTTTGTGGTTTGCTTCAACATCTTGGTCAATTAATATCAACCGAAATTGATCGTCTGAAACAGTTGGAAGAATCCACTTTGAGTTCGGATTTTTCTCAAGGTTCAGCTTTGCGGCAATTAGTGGAATTGATGCAATTATTTATGCGTGATGAACGTATTCGTCGTGTGCATAAATCATCGATGGTCGGTTTTGTTTTGGATGGCTATCTTTCCTTACGAAAATTGATAGTACAACGAACAAAAATGATTGACGAAACACAGGCTGCATTGTTAGAATTATTGGAATTACTTACAACTGGTACCCGTGCTGAAACAATAAATTTTATGAAAGTTTGCATTGAATCAGTGAAAAAATGCACCCTCCAAGATTTAAGAACGCCGGTATTCATATTCGAGCGTCTTTGTTCGATTATTCATCCTGAAGAAAAGGATGCTGATGAATTTTTTATTTCATTGGAAAAAGATCCACAACAGGAAGATTTCTTACAAGGCCGAATGTTGGGAAATCCATATAGTTCAAAAGATTCTGGTATGGGACCGCTGATGCGTGATATAAAGAATAAAATCTGTCAAGAATGTGAATTGGTTTCATTGTTGGAAGATGATTCCGGTTTAGAATTGTTGGTCAATAATAAAATTATATCATTGGATTTGTCGGTTAAAGAAGTTTACAAAAAAATTGTTTGTGCCGATGCACAAGTTGGACAACAACAAAATCAACAGCAAGCAAGCGGACATTCATGGGCCGGAGGAGCATTCAATCTTAATTCAGAAATTTCACTTATCGATACTCTCGCTGTTAATGCCTTGCAATTAGGCGCAAATCTGGCTGTGGCTTCTGGATCTGGCAATTTGACTAATCAATCTATCAATGGGCCAACAATGAAAATTATCTATCGTATACGTGGTCTGATGGGTGATGCTACAGAAGAATTTATTGAAAATTTATCCAACAAAGAATCGATCGTTAAAGATGATGAAAAATTGTTCGAATTGGCCAATATTATGTCTCAATCAAATGGCCTTAGTGTTATGCTTGAACGGCTTCAGGCAATACAAGAGATTAATAATCGCAGTCGTAGTCTTTTGTTTGTACTACTAAAATTATTCGGATATTGTGTTCGTGTCATCTCAAATCGACGTGCATTAATTGAACCCGAATTGAATGCCATAGGTATCATGTTGGGTATTGTACGATTATTCCTTAAGAATCCACATGCCGATCTATTAACATCACCATCATCGCCTGGCGAACCATCATATTTTGAACAATTATTAGCCATAATGGAAACATTATTAGCCGAAGCAAGTAAAGAAGAATTCGATGTATTCGATCGTTTCAATCGCGAAACTTGTGGTTCATCTGATGATATTCAAATGCTTTTGAATTCAGTATCATCACCGGATTCAATTATTTTCAACAGTAATGTTGCCTCACTAAACAATCGAATTTTGAGGGTTTTAACTTTTCTATCCATTGGTCATTCTGAAAAAATGTCTACATTGATTAATAATTTTAGGCCTTATTTTGAATTCGATGATTATGACACGCAAAATTTATCAGTTGCTAATCCCGATCATTGGTATGAGCTTTTTTGTTCGCTTGTTTCCGCTATCGAACTTAATCAAAATGGTGCACGATTAAAAGATCGTATGATTGAAGAAAGATTTGTCTCGATGGCCATCGAATATCTTGTTCGTAATGCACCGCCTATGAAAAGTTTTGTTCTTCTTAATTCAGAAGAATGGAAGGAATTCACATCAAGACCAGCCTTAAAATATGTTCTCAAAATGTTGACCGGTATGTGTCGGGGACATGAACGTACTCAGATGTTGATCACAAAAGATGGTGTACCAATAATTCATGCATTGGAACAAGTGCTTTCGGATTCACATATGGCAACATTGGCGGAGCATCTTATGGATGCATTGAAAGAAAATCCATCAGTTGAAGCCAAAATTCAAGAGATTCGATCAAAAACAAAAGAAGAAAAGAAACGTATTGCAATGGCTGTTCGTGAAAAACAGCTTGGTGAATTGGGAATGAAAGCCAATGATAAGGGACAAGTTATGGCCGATTCTGATCTATTGAAAAAAATGGAAGGTGAATTGAAAGAGGAAAAAGGTCTTGTATGTTCAATTTGTCGTGAAGGTTATGCATATCAACCGCAAAAAGTTCTTGCCATCTATACGTTTACTAAACGTTGTAATGTTGAAGAATACGAAGAACGAAAACCTCGTAAAACAATTGGTAAGTTTGATTTATCGATTCTTTCATTCCTGACACTAATTTCAAATTTAGGTTATACTACCGTAACGCATTTCAATATTGTACATGTTGAATGTCATATGGATGCTGTGCGACATGCACGTACTCGAGATGAATGGCAATCAGCGTCATTACATAATGCCAATACACGTTGTAATGGATTATTACCGTTATGGGGTCCAAATGTTTGTGAATCGTTGTTCGCACATGCATTATCCCGACATAATAGCTATTTGCAAGATGCTGTTGGTCAACGTGATTTTGTTGGTACTAATTCATTCCTGGGAACCGTTCATGATTTGAAATTATTATTACTTCGATTTGCCAATACACGAACATTTTCCGAAGAAACTGGTGGTGGTGGCGCGCAATCTAATCTGTATCTAACTCCTTATCTAATGCACACTGCATTATATGTAATGAATACGACAAAAATAACTGATCGCGAACGCGCAGCATTTGAAGAATCATTTATGCGGCAATCAACTTCGAAATTATTGGAAAGTTGTTTCCAGGTAGAAAGTCCATTCTTTTATTCAACAATGGTCATGCTGTTACATCCACCATCATTTTGGCAACAAAATCGTTTTTATTTTCTCCGTCGCTTGATTCTTTGTTCGATGATCAGAAGCTTACCAAATGATTCACGTGATGTCGAAACAATTTCATCTATGGAATTGCCCGGTTATTCAACCATAAAACCCGCATTAATGTTTTTTGCAATGATCAATCTTTTCTACACCGTTATGTTCAAGGTAATTTTTGGATTGTATTTATATTTATTCTGATCTAATTTATTTTTTTTCTATTTCTGGTGAATAGTCTTTGGAAATCAAAGCCGATGACGATTGGTCGCAATCATTGATCAATTATATACGGCATAATGATCAATCATTGATGGAATCAGCCGATCGTATGTTGGATACCTTTGAAAATGACATCTTACCATCAGCATCATTCGATGAATATTGTGATGCAGCCGATTTATTGCGTGGAATGAATGCCATCACCAATCCCGAAGAATTTCTCACTGATACATTAAGATTATCATAAAATGGCTGAACATTGAAGCAGTGAACATTAAAACATTAAATCAAAATGTATTTTTCTTACATATTTCCACACATCCAATTTTAATCTCATTCATTTAAAATTTTCAAATTCTATTGTTAATTCAAATATTTGTATAATAATAAGAAATAATAATATCAAATCTTAATAGCAAAACCAAATGCAGCATCAGCAGCAGCAATTTTCTGAGAAATAAAATTTTGTTTTGTTTTTTTTCTTCTCCTCAATTCATATATTCTTATATACTTTTCTTTGAAATATAACAAACAAGTGATTCTGTTGATTGATTTATATATTAATGATACCATAATAAAATTATCTTTTTTTTCCAAATAAATACAAATATTGTTTGATTGAAATATTTTGTTTTGATATGAAATGCCAAAATATTTCGTATACATAACAATAGCATCAGTTTATATTTTGCTTTTATCGATAAAAAATGTTTTGAATGTTGATTTATTTATAATACCAAATAACGTTTCCTAATTTTTTTGCTCTAAACATTTGAAAACATGGTAACATATTGACGATAACTTTTTTTACTGATTAAGATATCGTTTTTTTGGTGGTTGTTATGGCCACTGAATGTCATTTCAGTTGACAGTTGCAAGTTTGAATATTTTATATCTGATCTTTATCGTTAATTAAGTTACAGAAAAAATTTTAAATCCATCGGATTTTTTTCATCTATTTAGCCTAAATTAACGAAAAAAGAGAGAAAAAAATTGCCCAACCAAAACGAAATAAAGACCGAAAATTCCATACTAACATGTTATTTATTTACTTATTTTTCGTTTAGTCATTGTTGATTGTCATGAGATAATATTTAGAACAAGAAAAACAAAACATGACAAATATGAATGAATGCAAAACTCTTTCCCAATCACTGCAAAAATTATCAATTATGAATATGGACATGCAAATATTCGGATTTGACCTAAATTTCTTTTGTATTTTTATTATTATTTCCTGAATCAATTATATTTATTGTATTCATATCTAGAATTGATTGAAATGTTTCTAGTTTAATATGATTATTGATTGATTTGTGACCGAAACAAAATATCAATTACACTAAATAACTGACTAACCAGACAAAAATGATTAAAATTGATTTTTATTAAATGAATTAAACATTAAACAAACATGATCTATGACTAATCGTTTTTTTTTCGATCATCAATGATCCAACCATCATTTTGTTTTGAAGAAAAGATGGCCAAAACCTTGAATTCCAAATACTATTAATAGCAAAAACTTGCAAACATTTTTTGAAAATGATTAATTTTTTTAAAAGTACGATGTTGCATGATCATTGAACAATGCTTGATAGTTACATGGATTTAATGATGTTGATTTTGACAATTTATCGATATTGACAATCTTATCTTAATAATAAGATTTAAAAGCAAACATTGAATTGTATGTTATCGATTTGTGACAATATTGATCGGATTTCATAAAAACCTTCTAAATTTAATGATTTATAAGTGTTATATATTGCTTTCACATCAGTCATATCCGTTGATTATTCGTAGGTTAGATATAAATGTCATTTAATTGAATAAGATCAATTAACCTATCAACAATGGAATTTGACAGAGCTTAGGTTAAAAACGGTAGAGGGTGTGGTCCAACATTATTTTGCCATTAATAATATGCCTATGGTTTTTTTGTTTTGTTTTGATTTTGAACATTTTACACATTCGTAAAAGAAGATCGACAGGTTCATACAACAATTTCTCATACCATAATGATGTCTATCCAATAGGATTTCATCAAACCTTGAAGAGACGATGTGCGTATAATAATGATGCTGTTTATTATCATCAAAATCATCATCATCATCATGTATCATAATGGTTGTAGTAGTATACATCTCTTCAATGTTTTCATTTAGAAATTTATATATCCGAGTGTGTCGATTTCGACTACATTGAAAAAAGTCATTTGGTTATGTAGCTAGTTTTTGTTTTGATTCGTGGTTTTTCCATCCATGAATGATAGTGTTTTTTTCTGATGCCAGTCATTCAGTAGAATACATGAAAATTTTCTATATGGTTGAATCATTCGATTAGTATATACATTCATATGCAAGAAGATTTTTATATTCATTGAATAAACTGATTTTCATCATCTCTTATATTTCAAATCCATAAACATTGAATCACTTAACATTAATCATTCTTCGAACTCGATCGTTTTTTGTATTGACAATTCGCTGTTTGTTTTTTTTTTGCAATTCACACCCATTATTGTTAATTTTTCGGGAATCAACAACCAAAAAATAACTAATTGAACGAAAATGCCATTCACCTGTACGGATATTTGTAAAATCATTTTGGCCATCATTTTTCCACCAATCGGTGTATTTTTGGAACGAGGATGTAATGCCGATCTTCTCATTAACATCGCCCTTACTATTCTGGGTTTCATACCTGGCATCATACATGCCCTATATATCATTTTTAAATATTAAAAATGAATGAAATTTAGCATTCGATCACTGATCGATTCTTCATAAAAACATCTTTATTACTATCATCATTCGGATTATCATGGGCATTTCAATTAAAAATTTAATTTAATTTTTATTGTTTTTTTTTCTATCATCAATCACCATAATGTAATCAAAAATTTGTGTTCAGTTTTTTTTGCCATTATCTTGCATGAAAATCTTTTTATTTTTTGGTTTAATATCATTATTAAAAGAAATAAGCAAAAAAATAAATTCGATAAATTTATAAAAATTTCAATTTACAAGAAAAAAAATTGAAACCAGTTTTTTATAACTGTTGCCATCTGTTGAGATTTTTTCGCTACATTAAAATTTTCATTTTCAAATATTCGAAATCGTTCAAAAGAGAAATTAGAACAAATGTAGGGATAAAAGCAATCAGCAAATCCAATTGTGATTCAACAATATTTTTACAATTGTAGTTGTTTCACAAGAAACAAATCAGACAAGAAAATTTACCAAATTGTGTTTTTTTTACCTGTTTAACTAAAAATATTATCACTATTGCGATAGCAACAATATTTGCGTTTTATATTTTCTACTATTTCTCAATAATAACTGTCTATTGAAAAGGAAATCATAAGCATCTAGCAAGAAAATAAATTATTGCCGATTGTTTGTATGTGTGTGTGTGTGTGTGTGTGTTTCACGACAATAAAGTAAACATTTTAAAAAATTCTCAAATCATTGAAATTTACAGTTAAAAAAAGTTATTGTTGCATCGACATTATCTTTATCTTCATCATTTGATTGCTAGTGGAAAACAGGATTTCTGGTTTATATATTCACTTGCAAATAGCAATCGAAACATTATTTTTGGAGCACCGTCAATCTATTCATTAATCGGTAAGGATCAATTTATTATAAGTCGATATTCGTTAAATCTTTTCATTATTTATCAATTTTTGACTAATTGAATCGTTCAAGATTTTTTCTTCATTATCATTTGTTGTAAATTATAGAAGTTTGATTTCATAAAACAGCGAAAAATGCCGTGCACTTGTACTGATGTCTTTAAGATTTTTTTTTCAATTATTTTACCACCATTAGGCGTTTTTTGTGAACGTGGATGTGGGGCCGATCTTCTCATCAATATTGCTTTAACAATACTTGGTTATATACCGGGTATTATACATGCAATTTATATTATTTGCAAATATTAGCCTTTTCTAAGTTGATTATAATTTGAATAAAGAAAATATTTTATTTAACATATTGAAATTTTTTCGTTGTTATTCTTGATTAATTTTTAAATTCTGAATCATTCTGAAATATCTCGAAAATGATTCGGTATCAGCCAGATGGCGCATATTTATTCATTTTCATTTACATTGGCTTTCCAGCATTTTCTTTACGCCGCTTGGTAAAAACAACCATTTTTCGATTTTAATATCGCCTGACAAATCAAATATCGATTGGCATCAAATTTTTCTTCTTCGAAACAGTTGACGAATCTATTTTTTCGAGTTTGCCATTACACAATTATAAAACAACTGTTTTGAATACTAAAACTGTTTGTTTTATTTATTTTACTCAAAACATAGATGATTCAATTGTATTGTCAATGACAGCGTTAAATATATAAGAATTTAGAAACAAAGGTTATCTATAAATTTATTTTTTTACGCCGTTTTATTTATATTAATATTGTATCCATACTAATTATATATCTATTAATTATCTATTGATAGTGATTTTCTTAAAGTTATTATCATCATCATTATTGATTTTTAGCTGTCAACTATTCACTTGTTTTGATTTTTAACATTGTCATAAAATTAGTAGGTGTTTTTTTATCATAATATTTGGTTCAAATTTCATTTGTTGTTAATTTTATGTTTTCTTCTCCAATCGATGCTGTGATCAGATTCCATATCCTTGAATAATCATTCAAAATTCAATTAAACAACCATGACCATGAAATTCTTCAATGTCATTGGTTGGTCTTTGTTTTTGTGCTTTGGTTTGTATGCATTTATTGTAAAAATTTCCAAAGTAATATTTATTATTTTTAGTTTTGGAATGGAGGTCATGTGAAGCCGATGACCAAAATCTTTGCGATCTGAATTCATCATTCAATTCAAATATCTTAAATTTGACTCAGTCCGATATTCGATATTTAAATGTGATCAATTTAAATTCAAATATTGCAAAACGGAATGAATGTATATGGATGATCGATTCATACACCGCTACTAAAACAATTGATCTCTCTCGTCTTGTATTGTCACCAAACGATAACTTCACAATTACAACTCTTGTTACGATAAAAAATGAAACAAAGCTCGTCACCATTTATGACAATCATAATATTACTCGTAAAAAATATTCATCTGGCCTTCTGCTTATTGATCGTTACAATAAATTCAACATTACACTTAAATTGGATTCAAATGATAAAACATTCAAACGAGCATTTCAAATTATTTTATATTTGGATTATCCAGATGTTTATTTGATGAAAGATAGTGGATCATTAGCATTACCAATCAATCAAGATTTAGCATCAGCTATAACAAATGAATTCATTCTAAAACCAAGTCCTCAATATTCTGAACGATTGATCATGCTAACATTTGACGAAAAGCCAGCTGTAAACTTTAGTATGGACGGAAAACAATATGATTCAACTAATCTCCCCGATATTTATATGGGTAAAATTGATGGTATCCGTTTTAACTTGAAAGAATTCAAAGTCAATCCGAATAAACCAATCGTAATCAATTATTGGCTTGTAACAGCAAGTTGTAGTAAAGAAATTGAATTAGATGGTAAAAATTCATCTGCTTCGATTATTTATCCGGACGAACAAGATCGTCAAAATCAATTGTTAACATCAATGGTTTGTGCGCAAATATTCAGTAACAAAGATGGCAAATTTTATCAGTTAATGATCACCGACGAGACTACTATCTTACCGAATCCAGCCGATCTAATAACCATATATAACTTACCAAAAATAGAAGTTATACAAACAATTCAATCTTTATTCATTCCTTTGATTAAAACCGTCAATACATTCTTGGAATATGAAAAAATTCTGGTCATCTATGAATCACCATATGCAAATTCGACCATTAATCATACGGTTCCGATCAAATTGGCATTAACTAATAACATGTCATTCATATTGGATAGTGTTTCCTCTAATCAACAGATCAATATTCAAAAAACGAATCAAGAAATGAAATTCATCTACAATTTTTATTCTTCGCTTGGTGAAAATTTGATAGTTAACATCGAGTCCCAAGATAAACTTGATAATAATAAGATGAAAATTGCCATCTATGACACGGATATTTATGGTCCAAAGATAAAACCATTAGTATTTTTAGATCAATTCAATGTTTTACCATCAGCGATAGCTGTAAATAAAGCCGAAATGCGTATTGAAATCTGGGGTATATTGTCGCAAATCCAATTCAACATTAAACATGTAAACGATAAGGATTGTCAATCCGTTTCCAGTTATAATCCAAATTTTCAAGTTTCAAGTAACCGTAATTGTTCATGGTTCATTACCCGTAATGATTCTAACATCGAAAATACGGTATTAAGTACGAATTCTTTGGTTTTACCTGAAGGTTCATCGTTAATTGTAACACGTTTGGCTGCAAAAAGTTCAACACAAACCTTTAAAGGTCCAATACATGAATCATATCTTGCCGATTTTGTCATGTCATCTTCGCAGGATTATTTGGTGGAATTTATTGTCAATGAAAGCAATAAAAATAACGATACTAATATTTTTATAGTAAAAAAGGCTTCTCTCTTAAATTTCAACAAAATTAGCATTGATGATCAACATAAATTTTCATTCAAATCTATAAATTATCCAGGATTTTATCCGATCGGATTTGAACAGCATTTACCATTTTTAAACATGTATAATCAAACTGTTCTGATTACGGTCAATGATATTCATTTATATGGTATGTTGAGTTTAGACCTTAATTCTTGCTTAATTATATAACCGTTTTAGATCAACATTGGCTGTTCCTCAACGGAAATAAATTGAACGAGAATTTGACTTGTGAAACCGATCTAAGAAGTTTACCAGATTATTTTACCCAGTCATTATTGGCCGTTTCTTTCAATACAATAGATTCTCAACTTTTTGGTCATTCCGACCGAGGGTTCGACATTGAATTGAATTATTTTGGTTGCGGTGGTATCATTGATTTGAGTGTGGAAAAATCACTCAAATTCAATTCAAGTGCATCGTATAATCATTCAAATCCAATTTGTATCTGGCAAATCAAGGATTCAAAATCCAAAGAGCATCTAAATGAAACTATATTGAATTTTAACATTTCATTGACAGGTGACACTGATAAATTCACAATTTATGATTCAATTAGTCTTAGAAATTCAAGCATACATCTAGCATTATGCAATGAAACTAATGGCAACTGTTTAAATGCGAAAAATATGAAAGGACAATATCAAAGTTCGATTGGAACCGCTTTCGTTGTTTATGATTTTACAAAATCAATGGCAACAAAAAAAAATTTTTCATTTGAAATGAACATTGAATCTTCCAGTAAGTGTGAATCAAGTAATCGGATAAATTTTTATTAGTTTTTATCTGTCATTATGAATTCTATAGAATGCACGAATACTAAATATAATTTAAGTATTTGTTCGAACGGTGAACGATGTATAACAGAATTGATGTCATGTAATGGCCAGAATGATTGTGGTGATTGGTCAGATGAACTTCATTGTAACAGTACATTTATCCCTCCCAAACCAAATGGTGGAGGAGGTGGTTCTTCTGGAGGTATGTTTTTTTTGAAATGAATTTGTTTGTTTGTGTTTTCAAGTCTTGTCGGCTTTGGCTTTAAAAAAATTAACCTGTTGCGTTATTTGTTTTATTTATTTTCTAAAATTTCCAAACATTTTTTCTCAACCTAATATTTTTTTTATCCCACTAAACCATTCACCCTTTCGATTGTTAATTAATATGACCAACAATTTATAGTCAGCTGGACTATTGCCATTTTGGTTCTAATGCCTATTAGTGCAATTTTCGCTATATTTGGATACATTTATTGCCGACCATTCATAATGAGATCTATTTCTTCTGGATCATATATGCGATTGAGTGATTCAATATAAATTCAATCGAAGAATTTTTTTTTTTGCACTAACCATTTATCATCTTGTAAGCATGTTATAATTCCATTTCTTTCTTTTTTCAAGTTGATCCAAGCCAAGCCAAATGACAGACTCATCTAATATCATAATCAATGTCATTTTTAATTCTAATCTTCACAATTTAACTTTTTTAAATTACAGTAAGCGTTTGGGTTGTTATATTCATTTTGATGCCTTTGGGTGCTATACTTGGTATAGTTGGCTACCTCTATCTGCCACGATTACTGATGAATGTACGTCATGGTCGATATTCGGAATTTCGTTCTGATATGTCTGAAGTATCATAATTCATTTTTCATACAATCAAGTGTATTCCCTTCAATATACAAACCAAAATATAAAAGTGTACACAAACACAAATAATCAATGATAAAATATTAATATCTATACTTTCATGTTTGAATTCATTTCATTATCGGGAAATAAATTCTTTTTTTTTATTGTTTGCTTACAATTGTGATGATGACAATTTCAAAAATTGATTGATTTTTCCAGAAAATATCATTCATTCTTAATCAGGCACGTTTAAATAGATATTTTTTAAAATGATAATTTGATTCATCTAATCGGACACGGCGAAATGAATAATTGATAGAACTTAGAATTAATCACGATAATTTGATTATTGTCATCAATTTGTTTTGAGAAATATAGTAATAATTTGTCTAGTCGTTGATAATTGTATTCAATTGTGTTACGTCGTATTTCAACACAAAGCTATTATCCGATAGATATAAAAGGCAGGATGATTCTTTCGTGATGATTATCATTTAGATTTGCATTACATAGAATAACATCTAAAAAATCTAACTATGAAATTCATCATAATCGCTTCATTTTTTGGTAAGTTATAATTTTTTTAAAATTAAATGAATTTTCAAGAATTTTTTCCTAAAATTGTTCATACAGTTCTTGGAGTGGCCAATATTATTGAAGCAAATAATGGGGAAAATCAGCGAACGCTGGAATCACCTTGCTTGTCACCACTTGGATTAGGAGGAGTTGGGCTGAATTTGCCAGGACTTGAAGCAGGACTTGGTGGTTTAGGTCTTCCGGGAGTCGGAGCTGGTTTGCCAGGACTTAATGGTTTAGGTCTTCCGGGA